TGCGGATCTATGCCCATGTCGGGAAGCGATCCAGGCATGGAAAAGCCATCGTCGTGCCGTGACCGCCGCCGGAACCGCAGCGAGTCTTGTGACGGCCGCAATGTGTGTTGCTGGTGATGTGAGACGTAGCCAGATGTATGCGACTGGCCTTGCGCGGTTGAAATAGACGACAGCGACGACTGGTGCTGGTGCAAGGAAGGCGGCACTTGCCGCTCGACCCAGCTTTCGGTCTCGGCCTCGCGCCGCGGGTCTCGGGTGTCGCGCGTTGCGACTGAATCGCGCGAGTCCCTCGACTCTGGTCGGCTTTGTCGCAGCGCATCCAGGCCGCCGTTTGCAGGTCCCGGTCCACCGCCACCAACACCCGCCCCTGCAGGGCCGGCGGCACTGGCCGGGCCTGCAGCATTGCCGCTCGTCGGCATCGTGTTCGAGCCCGTGCGAGCTGCACCAGCACCGCCGGCACCGCCGGCACCACCAGAAGCAGCCGCACTGCCGCCTGCCTGTGCACCCCCGTCGGACATGGACACATCTTCGCTCGGCGGGCCGGCACCGCCGCCGCGCGCATTCCTCATACGTGGCCACAGGCTTGGCAACTCAATTTCCTGGAAGCGCGGCTCGACGGCCCGCTCGTCGAACCAGCGATGCAGCCGCGACTCGATGAGCTGGGCAATCTTGGGTACGTCCTGCAGCCGGGACCGGCTGCCCAGCAAGCTGCGGATCGAAAAGTCGAGGCGGTAGTCGTCGAGGAAGGCAAAGATCATCTTGGTGGGTGTGGCCTGCGACGGGTTGCTCGGCACGAAGGAGACAGAGAGCGTGCCGCTGAAGCGCACAACCGACACGGCCAGCGCGACGGGGAGCACGGCGGACAGGCGCCGTGGGTAGTTGAGCAGCAGCTTGGTCTCGACGGCCAGGGTGATCATGTCACTCAAGTCGACGTCCATGCGTGCCTGCAGCCGCGTCGCGCCCGCAAGGCCAGCAGCTCCACCGCCACCGCCGCCGCCGCCGCCGCCGCTCCCGCCACCGGCGTTTGTGGCATACCCGTCCTCGTCGACAGGGATGATGCGACAGTTGCTGAAGATGGGGAAGTCCTCGCCCAGGCTCAGCTCGGTGACGCGAATCTCGTCGAGAAAGTCGGGCCGTGACGTGCCGTTAAGCGCCTTTGTGAGCGATGTGAGAATGGCATCGTTGTGCTGGGCGTCGTTGCGGAACTGCGCAATGGTCTGGGCAATGAGCACGTTGAACCAGTCCAGACTCTCGGGCTGGTGGCTGTCGACGCGGTAGTAGGTCTTGTTGAGAATGGAGCCGATGGTAAGGACAGGCGGGCGGCGGAGCACACTGGATGTACGGCGGTTGTTGAGCTGCTGCTGGTGCGTCCCGGCCGCGCCTTGTGCGCCCGTCGATGGCGGCTGCAGGAAATCATGGGTGCTACTCGACTGGTGGCCGAGGCCGTGACCGCCTCGGCCCAGGCCTTGAGCATTGCCGCGTTGCTGATCTAGCTGCGAGGCACGCAGTGTGAGGAGAGATTGTCTGTGTGCATCGGTACGCGAGCGCCGTTCCGAGGCTCGTTGTGAGGCGGTGGTTTCGGCCGATGGAGGGTCGCCAAAGATGAAGAATTTGATGAAGGCTGCAACAAGCAGAACGACAGACAGCTGGCCTACGATTAGGCCCTGGGTGAAGGAGAGGCTACATCAGACGAAAGAGGGTTCATGTCAGCCGAACAGAGCTTCTAGTTGGGACAGAACAAGAACAAATGGTGGGACAAGGCGAAACGCACGCTGGCTCTGCCTGAGGCGGGCAGACGTCCTTGACCATGGCCGCCCAAAACCGAGACACCGGAATTCGGATTGCTGTGTGAAGAGAGAGGAAGATGTCGGTGGCAGTCGGGATGCCGACGGTACTGGTTGTTGCGCCGTCATGGACGCTGGAGCTGAGTGTTGTTCGGCTGTCGATTTATTTGCATTGGCTCGGCGGACCAAAAACGTGGTCCAAAAGCCAGCAGGTCTTTGTCCAGCGTGCTAGCGCAGCTTGTTTGGGGCTTATCTTATCGGTATGTATATGTACGTAGATGGACCTGTATATTCATTGCGGTTAGGATGTACCTCTACATAAAAGCTAAGCTGATCTTGCTGGCGCAGGTTGGCAGAACGTCACAGGCGTCTATGCAGCAGGCAATAGGCTCCATTTGCAGCATCGTCGCAACACATCACCATTTGCTAGCCATCATTGACAGCATAACCTCACGACCTACGATTGCCAATTAAACGCGCGCACCACGCCTTGAGAGATACCAGCTGCCTCCCAATCTCTGCTCTCTTTCATTTCGCCGATTCGTTGCGGCTCAACAGCCTTCTGGCTTCTTGCTACGCCGTGGCAGCAATCAGGCGACAGGCGACGACGACCTCCGATCCATCCGGATCCGAAAGCCTGTCCTTCGGCACGCCTCCTTCTCTTCTCCCACTCCATCCAGCGCTTACACTTATACGCATTGTACGGCCATGGACGTCGTGCAGGCCGTGACCGGCTATGTCAACAAGATGGTGACGGCCGGCGACGCCCCTGGCGCGGGGTCCTCGGCGGCTGCGTCGGCCACCATCTCGGCGAAAATGAAGATCTTGCTGCTCGACCGCGAGACAGTGCCCATCGTGTCGACGGCCATTACACAATCGACGCTCCTGAACCACGAGGTGTACCTGACGGACCGGCTGGACAATGGCAACCGCGAAAAGATGCGCCATCTGCGCTGCTACTGCTTCGTGCGGCCCTCGGCCGAGTCGATCCAGCTGCTGGTCGAAGAGCTGCGCGACCCGCGCTACGGCGAATACAACCTGTTCTTCAGCAACGTCGTCAAAAAGTCGTCGATGGAGCGGCTTGCCGAGGCCGACGACCACGAGGTCGTCAAGCGCGTGCAGGAGTACTTTGCCGACTTTGTGGTCATCAACCCGGACCTGTTCTCGCTCGACCTCGGCCGCCTGTCGACCAGCAGCTTGATCACGCACGTATGGGGCCCCACGTCCGATTCGTGGAACGCGGACGCGCTGCAGCGGTCGACCGAGGGCGTCCTGGCGGTGCTGCTGGCGCTCAAGAAGAAGCCGCTGATCCGGTACACAAAGAGCAGCCTGCTCGCCAAGAAGCTGGCCACAGAGGTGCGGTACCGCATGACACAGGAAGAGCAGCAGCTGTTTGATTTCCGGCCCGTCGACACGCCGCCCATCCTGCTGATCCTGGACCGCCGCGAGGACGCCGTGACGCCGCTCCTCACGCAATGGACGTACCAGGCGATGGTGCACCAGCTGTTTGGCATCCGCAACGGGCGCGTGGACCTGCAGACCAAAGAGGCCCCCGCCGGCGCGGCAGGCCCGTCGTCCGACCCGGGCCCGGACCTGCGTGAGATTGTGCTGTCGCAGGACCAGGACCCTTTTTTCAAAAAGAACATGTACCTCAATTTTGGCGACCTGGGTTCCAATGTCAAGGACTATGTGGCGCAGTTCCAGTCCAAGCACAAGAACAACGAGAACCTCGAGTCGATTGCCGACATGAAGCGGTTTGTGGAGGAATACCCCGAGTTCCGGAAGCTGTCGGGCAATGTCAGCAAGCATGTGCACCTCATCTCAGAGCTCAGCCGCCGCGTCGGCCAGGAGGACCTGTTGGAAGTCAGCGAGTGCGAGCAGAGCCTTGCTTGCAACGACAACCACGCGGCAGATTTGAAGGTGAGCCCCTCTCGGTCGATCTCTATATTGTGCCCAGTTTTCAGTTTGGACATATACGCAGATACTAACGGAACCTCTAGACGGTCCAAACACTGATCCAGAAGCCATCGGTGACGGCCGACGCCAAGGTCGGCCTGGTGGCATTGTACGCCCTCCGCTACGAGAAGCAGAGCCAGACCAACCTGGCCATGCTCGTGGATCTACTGACGGCCGCCGGTAACGTGCCCCAGCGCAAGGCGGATCTGGTGGCAAAGCTGCTCGCCTTCCAGCAGTCGTTGCACCATGCAGCTGCCGGCGGTGCCGGTGCCGGTGCGGGCGGCATTGCCGACATTTTCGAGTCGTCGGGCATTTTTGCGGGCGGTGCCAAGGCCCTGCGCGGTCTCAAAGGTGTCGACAACGTGTATACGATGCACTCGCCGCTGCTCGAGACGACCCTCCAGAACCTCATCAAGGGCCGGCTGCGCGAGCAGCAGTATCCATTCGTCGAGGGCGGTGGCACGACGCGTGACAAGCCACAGGACATTGTCGTCTTTATGGTAGGCGGTGCGACGTACGAGGAGGCCAAGACGGTAGCTAGTCTCAACGAGACGGCCCCCGGCGTGCGCATCGTTCTGGGCGGCACGACCATCCACAATGCCGACAGCTTCTGGGAGGAGGTGGACGAAGCAGTGTCGTCGTGGCCAGAGCCGCCACCGACAACGGCTGCAGGACGGTTGCGCAAGGAGATTGGGCGGCGATAATAGACAAGAGGCTCCGAGTCGATTGGCAGAGTGGGCTTAAATTACGCATGCAGAGGAGCTGTCTTCCTGTGATGGCGTTTTGCGTTTTGCTTTCATTTTTTTGTCATTTCTGTCTTTTTCTACAGATTTTTAGCCTGCTACGTACAAAACAGCTTCCAGACATATAATCAGACGACGATGGGGAGACATTTCTAACAGTTGTAATTTTGTTGCACCAAAATAGGCTTGGGGTTGTCTCAATGTTTCAGTGCTGTTTGTTCAGTTCACAAGGCTGGACCCACTAGTTGCCGCGGGCACGCTAGCCCCCAGACAGCCGCTCACACTGACGCAGTCTTTCTCCGGCCACTCAGTGGCCTGCAACCGGTGAACACGCCCTAAAATTTTCTTTTCTTACCCTCCGGGGAGGTCTTTGCCGTCCAAGGAAACGCATCCCGAATTTCACTTTCTTGCGCCACGGGCACACGGTCACAACCACCGAGCGCCGTCGCCTTGGCAGTACACCCAGACAAGGCCCATTGTGTCGTCATACCCTTGGTCGTCGCATAAGGTCGAGCCAATGCTGAGGCTCACGATAGCAGGCTGCGGCCGGGGCGGCCAGAGGACCGTGACCTTTTTTGCAGCATCGGCAGCGACGTCAACGCCTTTGTCGCCCTTTGCGCTGGCCTCGGTATGGCCCCAAACACAGACACAGCCGTCGGGCGCACAAACAAGGCCAATATCGACCACATCGAAAGTGTCGGCCGTGTCGATACCCTGTGCTCCGTCCCTTGGATCGCCGTCACGTGCTCAGAGTCCGCTCCGTGGGGTCCTTCTATCTCGTCTACGGAGCGGTGCTCTCGGCCGGCAACAGCAGCACGTGCGCCTCCTATCGGACAAGGGCTCCCTGTCACCACCTACTCCAGCCAGTTCGTCCTCTTCATCCCACACACTCCCGCCCACGACCACAACCCGCCACGAGAACATCTATACCGTCCCCAACTTTCTGACGGTCGCCCGCCTCATTGCCGCGCCCTTTGTCGGCTACCTGATCGTCGCCGACCAGCCTGGCTGGGCCCTCTCCCTGCTGGCCGCCGCTGCCGTCACTGACATTCTGGATGGCTGGATCGCCCGCCGCTGGAACCTGCACACCGTCGTCGGCAGCGTGATCGACCCCATGGCCGACAAGGTGCTCATGACCGTGCTGGCCGTGAGCTTAGCCGCGCAGGGCGGGCTGCCCGTGTGGCTGGCCGTGCTCGTCCTGGGCCGCGACGCGGGGCTGGGCGTGGCCGCCATCTACTACCGCTGGGTGTCGCTGCCGCCGCCCAAGACGTTTTCGCGGTACTGGGACTTCTCGCTGCCGTCGGCCGAGGTGCGGCCGACAACCATTAGCAAGTACAACACGTTCTTGCAGCTGGCGCTGATGGGGGTGACCACGGCAGCGCCCGTTCTGGCGGCAAGCACGGGCACGGTGGCGGCGATGCTCGGCGGACCGTACGACCTGACGGCCGCGCTGACAGTGATGCAGTACATTGTGGCAGTGACGACGGTGTGGAGCGGCGCGAGCTACGTGTACAGCAAGGACGCCGTCAAGATCTTGACGCAAAAGACCAAGTCGCCATGAGATGGAGGAGAGGCTGTGGACGGTGGGAGCACCATGCTGGCGAGTAAAGGGCATCCGGAGTTGACCAAAGTTTTAAAGGGAAACGGAGCAGGGGCGTCGTTTATTTTTGAATAGTATTTTGTGCATTTATGTATCATAGCTTCGTCATCTGGTCATTGGGAGTCTACAGAGAGTGGAAAAGAAACAAGGAATTCGACAAAATTGCTAACCGACACCAAACACCCAGATGCTCTTTATGCAATTGTCCATGTCGTCGTCGTAATCAATTCGTACAGATGCAGTCGGGCCAACGTCTCCTCACGACAGATCGGCTGCGCGTGCCTCCGCATCCACAGTCGCCATGTCGCCGTCGGCCGACGCCAGAATAGCGTTCTCGTCCACGCTGATGGTTCTCTGCAGCCGGTTCACGTATCTGAGCAGCTTAACACATCCGGCTGGCGTCATACCCTCGAGCCGCCGCGCTTGGGCCAAGGTCTCGGGCCGCGTCTCCGTCAACGTCGCCCGCTCCACAATGCTGAGGCCCGTCACTTGTGCGTAATCCAGGTCTGTCGGCAGCTGCAGCGCCTCATCCCGTGCCATGCGCGAGCGCTCCGCGAGCTGCGCCGCCTCGTAGGGCGCGTACTGCGCATGAATGGACACGCGGCGGCGCACGTGCGGCGCGAAATTGTCGAGGATGCGCTCCCCGTTGGGCACAGCGCCGCGCGCCACAAGGTCGTCGACGCCCGCGACGCCCGTCACGCGCATCATGTCGAGGCCGTTGCGCATCTTGGTGTCCTCGCGCACGTTGAAGCCCAGGCGCTGCCATGCGGGCGCGCTCAGGACAACGCCGCGCAGCAGGCTTGTCAGCTCGGCGGCCTGGTCGCGGTCCGCGCAGTAGCGGTCCCAGCGGCGGTCGCCGACCACGCCCCATGCGCGTGCCTTTTCCGTCAGTCGCTCGTCGGCGTTGTCGAAGCGCGCGCTGAGGCGGAACTCGGACCGCGCCGTGAACATGCGATACGGCTCCGACACGCCCTTGGTGATGAGATCGTCAATCATGATGCCAATATAGCCGTCGGCGCGCGACAGCCGCACGGTTTCCAGACCCTGCGCGGCACGGCCCGCGTTGATGCCTGCCACGATGCCCTGGCCGGCAGCCTCTTCATAGCCCGTGGTGCCGTTGATCTGGCCGGCCAGGAACAAGCCGCCAATGGCCTTGGTCTCGAGCGTGGCTTTGAGGCTGCGCGGGTCCACGTAGTCGTACTCGACGCCATAGCCGGGCTGCAGCATCGTCACGTTCTCGAGGCCTCGGATCGTGCGCAGCAGCTGCTCCTGCGCCTCTGCTGGCACCGTCATCGACAAGCCGTTCGGGTAGACAATGTCGTTGTCGAAGCCCTCGGGCTCCAGCCACACAATGTGGCGGTCCTTGTGGCCGAAGCGGATGACCTTGGACTCGAGCGATGGGCAGTAGCGCGGGCCCTTGACGGTCTCGCGAATGTGGATTGTCTTGTCCAGATTGGCCCGCACGACGTCGTGTGTGGCCTCGTTGGTGTACGTGGCGTGGCACAACAGCTGGTCCCCGTCGACAGCCACACGGTCGTTGAGGTAGCTGAACGGCATGGGTGGCTCGTCCCCAGGCTGCTCCTCGAGGATGCCAAAATCGATGGACTTGCGGTCGAGCCGTGGCGGTGTACCTGTCTTGAGACGGCCGAGCTGGAATCCGGCCTCTCGCAGTGAGCGGCTCAGCCCAAATGTGGCTGCCTCGCCCATGCGGCCCGAAGGGTAGGCCTCGAGGCCAATGTGAATCTCGCCGCCCAGAAAGGTTCCCGTGGTGATGATAACCGCGCTTGTGGGAAGCACCTCGCCCGACTCGAGACGTATGCCCGTGATGCGGCTGCGAGCCGTTTCTGTGTTGCTCTTTTCGTCCGCCGCCGCGACCACAATGTCTGACACGCTGCCCTCCACAATCGACAGGTTCGGGTAGGATTCGAGCTCGGCGCGCATGTGTTTCTTGTACAGCGCCCGGTCAATCTGCGCTCGCGGGCCCCAGACGGCCGGTCCCTTGCGCCGGTTCAGGACCCGGAACTGCACGCCAGCGCGGTCGATGATGCGGCCCGCCAGGCCATCCATCGCATCAATCTCCCTCAGAATGGTTCCCTTGCCAATACCACCGAAACTCGGGTTGCACGAGCAGACGCCCAGGTTGTCCAGTTTCGGTGTGACCAGCGCGGTCCGCGCGCCCGTCCTTGCTGCTGCCGCGCATGCCTCAGCACCGGCATGACCACCACCGACTACCACGACATCGAACGGGGGTCGCGATCCGGAGGCCACGTCGGCAAAGCCGCGCCGGCGCAACCATGGGGCGCGGGTCGTCCACCGCTGGCGTAGCAGCGCTGTTGGTCTGTCGGGTCGGCATTGGTGGTCCAGGGGCGAGCAAATGCTCGAAAGGCCCTGCCGAAGGGGCAGGGAATGTCGCGCTGTCTTCATGTGTCGAGTTGATCAAGAAAAGTAACGTTCCAGGCAAAGAGAGGCCGATTCACGACCCTCGAGATTGGAATATAACTCTTGTCTGTTGCTGTCGACGTTTCTGCAGGCTCCAAGAAACAAATCGCGATAAGATAACGACGTCCCAGAAGCGATTTTTTTCCCACTGCGCTTTTCGCAGCCGATGGCCCTGCGAGCTAACAAGTCGCCTTACAAGATCACGTGATATTAAGTGTTTATAGGGACTAGACCGCTGCACTAACTGGCAAAATAGAGAGCCCTCTAGCACCAGACTAGATAGCAGGTCTTAATTCAATGCAAGTCGACACTTTGGGGGTCAACATACGACGACTCAAGCTGTAAACGCTGTTCAGATAATTTTGTTATGTTACCGCAAACAGGAACTATTAAGGTTGTTTTCCAGTTTTGTATCGTGCGGGAGGCAGGAAAACATCGCCAACTCAATCACAGGAAGTTGTGTGGCGACCTTTCGAGGGCAGTTAAATTAAAGCTCATAAAAAACAAAATATAAATTACATCAAAAAGGCCTGCTTGATAGGTTGATTACTGCCATCGTAGAAAATATGCTTGACCAGTTTAGCCATGTTTATACAATTTTCTCTTGTTACAAGTGTTTGTCATTCCAGCTCCTAGACATTGCATGTTACAATATCACAATCACATGTAGCTCGGAATTTCATTATAAATTTGTCAAATTTGCGGAACGATCTCGTGTACATGTAATTGCAAATAACAAAGAAACCAGAAAATGAACAGGAAACAGGGTATAAGAAAAAAGATAGAGAATATAGAAGATAAAAACAGAAGATAGAAAATATAAAAATAGACATTTAAAATAAGGAAAGCACGTAGAAAATAGAAAAGAAAAAAGGAGAGGTAATAAAAGAGAACGTAGAAAAAAACATGAAAATAGAAAATAAAAAACCAAAAAAGACATAGAAAATAAGAAAGAAATGAGGAACAAAAAGTAAAATACAGTGTCAAAAATAAAAAGCAGATAATAGACAGTAGAGAAATAAAACACCAACAAAAGATAGAAAACAGATATTAAGAAACAAAAGGAAGGGGGGAAAACGAGAAACAGGAAACAAAAAGGACGAATAATAAGTAGAAAACAAAACGAGCCATATATTCCGAGCGACTACAAGCTTTCTGTTCTTTTTATTTTTATTTTTTTATTTGTTCTTTTTATTGTGATTTCAGGGTTTTTGACAAGGTTGTGTCTTTGGGGTAGTTGTTTGCGAAGGCCGAGGGAGACAGGATAGACACGCCAGGAAAGGAGCGCGGAGGCATGCGCAAACCATACAACCATAAAAGTAAAGACACAGAGACAGAGGCAAAGACAAAATAAAATTGTCTTGACTCGTGACATGGTCTAGGTGGGTTGTGTATGGTGCGCACCCCCTCCTCTTACTGTTGCCATCCATCGATCCGAAATAAGGAGCGTCGAGGATGAACGTTGCATTTTGTGTTGATTGGTTGCTTTGCTGGCAAAGAACACGAAAATGCAAATATCAACAGTAAGAGGAGGGGGTGCAACTAGACGCGGAATGGCACCACGGCACGGTTGCAGACGTCACTGATCGTGTAGTACGAGACGACACGATAGACGCTGAACACCGTCGGATCTGTCCGCTGGTCTTTCACGGGCTTCGATTCACGGGCCACTCGCCCACCGCCAACCAAGCGGACAACCTTGGTTGTGCGCTTGACCAAACCGCCGTGCTTGAGATGGTCAGCCGAGGTCAAGCCGCAGACCAGGAGACTGGCAATTTCTTTGACGGGCGTGCGACACGTGGCGATGTCGTCTGCGCTGATGTGCAGAAATTCCGCAGCGTTGGCGTCGGTGACCTCGATATGCTTGATCTCTTTGCTGGCCTGGCCTTTGACGGCCTCGCGATAGACCATGTCGCCTGCGCCGGCGCCTTTGCGGCTCACCGTCCACACGTGGTTGTCCGTCCAGCGTTTGATGTGCTCGCCGTCTTTGAAGACGAAAACAGATCCACTGACGACATCGTCCATGGGCCGCTGCGTCGCAAAGTTGATCTTGCCTCCAATTGCCAGATCAACAATCGCCTCAGCAGCCAAGGGACACTGGACAAATATCTTCTGAAGGCCCAGATTATTGTCTCCCGCTGTGGGCAGGAACTCGTTCGGAATCGAAACCGAGGACCATGTCTCGTCGGTCCACTTATCCGCGTCCAAGCTCCAGTAATCCACAGCTGTTTGGAGGTACGACTTGGCCGGCGATGTAGCAGGACCAGAAACAACAACAGCGTCGGTGTGGTTGCCAATAGTAGTACCTAAAGTGCTCTGGGAAGTGATGTTTGGGGTCTGGGAAGTGGCGACTAGAGTGTTCTGGGAAGTGTTGACAAGAGTGTTCTGGGAAGTGTTGACAAGAGTGTCATTGGGAGAGGTGCCAGGAGCGTCTTGAGGCGGGGCGGCAGGCTGCTTTGCGTGGCTTCTGAAGAAAATAATGAAACAAACCCAGCGGACTGCCCGATCGTTCTCGTACTTTGACACTGTACGGCTTTCAGTGTGTAATCTAGAGTACTGCATGACGGTCAAACCACCTGCGATACTAGGCAGCTCCGTCGTGCGCTCCGACGGAGCAACATTGGGCTCGTATTTGTACCACATAAGTTCTCTCAAGCGTAGCCCACAGGCGACGAATTCCACTTCAAAGCCATAGGGATTGCTAAGCAGGTCAGGGAAGTCCCAGAGGTCACCATTCCTGTAGTAGTGGACAGCATTAAGACGGCAGGTGTAGTCAAGGATCTTGCGCTCTACAGTGCTGGGATCCAATTGGACATCTCCCATAGAAAGCAGAGCACTGGCATCATGGAAATCGAATTCCACGCGATTTGAACCAGACACATCCGTCTGCATAACTGACGATGAAGGTTGCGCCAGTAGCCGAGGGTCTATCCTTGCCGTAGGGAACTCGGGGCTCATGAGCGGTGGGGGGACGGTGGCGTATGAAGGCTCCTCTTGGTCAATAAGCGCCGTAGAGAATGATGGCAGCATAGAGTCTCGACGTATCCCACGGTACTCAAGGTCCACATGCTGCCATTGTGAAGTGTCCAGCTCGGTGCCTAAAAATAGCTCAAGCTCCTCGGGATCCATAGTCTGCGGAACGTCTATGGTGGGCGCAAAGTCTGTGAGTAGTGCGGGATTTGTCAAGTCCACAGCCGGCCCAAGGTCCATAGACCCCGACAAGTCTGAGAGTGGCTCAGGGTTTGTAGATTCCATAAGGCTCTCAAGGACCATGGGTTCCTCAAAGCCCGCGGATTCCATGGGGTCAGAAAATAGACCAAGGTTGTCCCAAGCGTACTCAGCAATTGGCAAGCTTGACTGAGGCCAATCTTGGTCTATTGTGCTCGAAGGGTTTTGAGGTGTCTCGAGGATCGCCGATTCCATAGGAACCTCTGGCAGTGCCTCAGTCGAAGACGTGTCGTAATAGGCGTCGAAATCGAAAAAACTGTCCATTTTGGAGAGCAGCCCAAAGGAACTGGAGAATGTGATTTGTTTATCGATGTGGTGTTGTGCTTTGTCTGTGGGTTGCAGGTGGTAGAAGCTTGGAGTTGGATGTTGAGAGTTGTAGAGTCAAATAAAAGCTGGTAGAATAGGGTACGGATGAAGACACGTTGAGAAGAAAATGTAAAAAAAACAACAAAAAAAAAAACAGTGGGATAGATGTGAGGCAGAGCTCGGTTTAAATACACGAAAAGAAGGTGTTCTTATTTACGATGCAACAGAGGAAGGAAGTGTCTATGTGTAAGGAGGCATAATCACCTTCACTCAGCAACAGAACTGCATGTTGGCGTAGGCTACACAGAGATATCATGTGGCGTCTACGTTTGGCTCATACGGTGTCGGACTACTAAAGAGTGTTTTCTTACACATTCCACTAGCAAAATAATCAGTCACGATGCTGTATGACGGCATCATGGTTTCGATAAAGCTGACTGAGGGGGGCGTGGACTACATCCGTTTCATATTGCAGGTACTGGGGGGAAGGGACAAGGAGAGGGATGAAGGTACGACGGTAGACGCCCTTGTTGGACACGGCGCACGGTGGTAATTACTTCAGAGACTTCGTTCATACGGACTTGTGACTTATGTTATGGCACAGAATATTGTCAATGACTCTTTAGAACGATACCATCAGAAGCAGCAGGTTGGTGAAGAGAGTGACAACTTTTATGCTGGAGCTCGCAAAGTCTTTGGAGTATCGAGCTTTGTGCCCTGCCAAAGACGGCAATGAAAGACAATTGTATTTGCCATGGTTTACTATGCACCAATACTTACAATATATTTGGAAGGTTACGGTGAACGGTTTCTCAAGTTTCATGAGATCCCAAAGCGACGCAAAGGAAACCAAACCTGACCAGATCAGATTCATTATTCCGGACTTTGCGACAAAATGGTCGTTAAATTGAGGACGACCGTGCTCAAACTATCAGAAACACATTTATCACGATGTATTCAGGATACTTGAACAAAAAGGCCTAGGCATCGTTCATTGGCCTTCGGCAATTGTGTTGATGGTTAGTGAATTGCAGAATGTTAGCCATGAGAATAAGGGGCGGTTAAGTGCGGGGTTCTGATTGGCTGGATGGGTGCAACTTACAAACACACTTCCCAAAATGGACTAGCGTTGTTTGTACTGATCCAAAATATTGTGTACGAAAGTCGACCAGCAGCAGCCAAAAAGTGGCATGATACGGGTACGAATCGAAAGCTTGGATTTTTCTCTACAAGATAGGCCTATTATGAATGCAAGTATTCAGAGAATAATGTTCTGGGGTGCGTTGTTCAAGCATTGAGGTACGAAACGGATCTTGTTTCTGGCCTAATCGCAAGCAACTTTGTTTTGATCGTGATTGCAAACGCTTGGCTGTGTGCATGACGAACGCACAACTAAGCTTCTCTGTCTGTTGGGGGCGCAGAGATGAATACTGTCCCCCAGCGTGTCCGGTAGCCTTGGCCGTATCAGGAGCCCGATATGGCCTAGTCATCGATCACCTCTCCATAAAAAACCACGGTCGCTTTATCGTGCCCGTCAGTGAATTGACATTGTACTTCATGCCTGGTGCCACAATGGGTACCGGCAGAACATTGCGGAAGATGTCAAACATTTTCTCGTCTTCTCCCATCGTAGTCGACACAGAATGGCCATGATCGTTTCCGGTAGAAGCAGGGACCAAAACACCGCACTCCCAGTTGCGGCATGTCATCTTTGTTTTTCCTGTCGTCCGATCCTTGACAACACGGCCCCTTTGTGAACATGTTAGAAGACTTCCGTAGGGAGAACGTACGGAGAGGATATTGGTGTATGGCGGGGAATGAAGGGCAAAAAGAAAAAAAGAAAAAAAAGAAACCGCTCTCGGATCTCGAGCAGGTGCAACGCCCACGACTCACCATGCGCTCTCGGACATGTTTGCACTGCCCACATAGGCCCATCCACGCGGGCGAGCCGCATCGCTTGCCTCACTCTCTTGCGTGTTGTATCCCAAGCGTACAAACAGAAGCTTGGTGTGCATCAACACACCCGTGCGGACGTTCTGTACGTCGCGAAGGATCGCCTTCGGGAAGGAGGGGGCTTCCCACCATTTTTTCTGAAAGCAGATCGTACCTGCGCCCTGGGAAACAGAGAAACAAACCAATGCGTCAACAAATTAATGCTCTGGAAACTGCGACTTGTCGGTTCTGAGAAGGCAGAACCGGAAATGGACTCACATTCTTGCCCCCGATGCTGCTTCCCACTGTTTCGTCCGACGGAAAGTACAATCGTAGGCAGTTTTGTGGACTGTTGGGGTTGGCAGGCGCAGCCTCCGGTGCGGCAACACTCTTTCCTTTTCCACCACGAGGTCTCTTCGTCCTTGACTCAAGTTCCTTTAAACCGGAATCGCCTAGGTACCTTCATGTCAGCATTTACGTCCTGTTGTCTATGTTTATTTTGTTGAAATTTGAGATTGAAATTTGAAGGCGCGGCAGTGGTGAATGACAGCGGATGCTTACTTACCTTGGCAGGCAAAGTACAATGCGTTGAGCAAGTCATCAGACACGGAGCCCACAGAGGAGCACTGCCAGCAAAAAAAAAGGTCAGTATGGCCATAGGTAAACAAACATGAAACGCTCTGGAAAACGTAAAAGAGATCTGAACTGACAATATAATCGACCTGGATGGGATCTGTCGATGCCCATCCCATGGCCTTGACAGCCCGACCCAGACCACTGTAGCCTGTGCGTTTCCACGACTCGTCCATGTGAGAGCCAGATCTGATTTCAGTCAGTAAATACAGAGGCTATGTATTACAAACAAACAAATCAAAACCAAAATCGAGCCGAAATTTAAAAAAAAAAGAGCCAAAAAAGCAAGCGTACATGGAGTGCACAAAGGCATATCGAACAGTCTCCGAAAAGTCGTAACTGCGAAGGCTCTGCACCATCGCCGCATCCACACCCTGGGCTGTAAGGAAGTAGGATAAATTCTCCATAAACGGCGTGCCTGTACCTTCCGCCGATCTGCCTTTGGGCAACTTTGGCAGATCAATGAGAAATACCATCTGCGTTGTTTATGTCAGTTTTGTGTGATTGTGTTTTGCAAAGAAACAGCGATCCGATGCCAAAACGCTAGGAAAGAGCGAAACAAGACCAAATTGCCCCTTTGTAACAGCGCCGTTAATGTTCCGAGGGAATCCCGTAGGGAGGGGTTCAGTAGTGTGCCTCTCCTTCCTAACTCTGTCTTTCCGATTTAACAGAAAAGAGCACTCACGTTCTCAAGAGTCCCCGTCTCTCCCCAGTCATAAGGGACAAGGTTGCCCGTAGGCACCGCAATGCGTAGGTGGCCTGGGAACTTGAGGAGCTGCAGCTTCGAGTGCATATGGCCCATCGTCTGCACGCGTGGAAAGCAGAAGCGTATGTTACTTCCTTGCGAGTTTGCCTTCATTTGCTCTTTCTGTTCGTAGAAAAGGAAAAAAAAATCAGTTAGAACAGCACTTTGTGCTTCTTCCCACGTCACGATGAAAACAAGTAGACGAGAGCTCGGAGTCCACCAAATACATTTGCAAGTATCATTCTCAAGTACACCGTGCCCGAATGTCCAGACAGACGCCTCACAATGTCTCTCGAGCTAGCATGAGGGAGAGGGCGTCTTTACAAAAACATGTACCCTCGCCTCCGCACCCGAGGTATCACTTTGAAGCCGCTACTGAAGCGCCGGGGGCGATGAAATATGGCGCTGACAACAAAGTTCTGGCACACCGGAGCTGACTGTAAAGCAGAGAACGCACCTGAATATCGTCGGCGGCATATGCAATCAGCATGACGCGTGTCCGTCGCATGTCCAGTCTCGACATCATCCAATTTTCGTCCCACTGGAAGGAGCTGAGTACAGCCAGTTCCAGAGTGTCCCTTTGCCAAACTTCTTCGATCGTGACGTCGTCACCGCGCCGCGGCTGACCGCGCACCCAGGTTTTCTTCACCACACCTCTGGCGTAAGGAAGGTGGGGCGATGGCGGTGCGGAAAGAACTGCACCCGAAGGGCCAGCCAGCTGACCTTTGAAACTTTCGCGAGCATATGACGTTGCTGTGCTCTTTCCGCTTCCGCTTTCCTCCAAATCGATCTTGCGTCGTCTGGGAACGGGATATAAATTGGGTTGCTGAATTTCTCTTCTTCGGTCGTCGCTTCCTTTTTTTCCTTCGTTGTCGTCGCCCTTTGCATTCTCGGTTTCGTCGTCATCGTCATCATCGATGACGATAATATCACCTTCTGCCTTTCTCTTTTTGGGCGACAGTTGCAGTTTCCACGGCTGGGCTACATGGCCTTCCTTCTTTAACAGATGTTGAGTATTGTCTTTGCTTGCCTCTGCCCCCGTTGCAATAACACTTTGAGACTGCTGTGCCTCCAGAGCTTTCTGTCGGCGCGCCAAGCGCTCTGCCTCCATGGCCTTTCGATCGAGATTGAGCAGCGACATGGCAGGTGCAGTCGCTGTAGCAGCAGCATCGATCGGACCAGCAGGTGCATCCGTTGCAGTCGGCCCATCTGGTTTCGTGAGGTCCGCAGCACTTTTTGGTGATGCATCACTGTTCTCTGGCCTGGGTGGCGGCGGCGTTAGCGACGCGGTGGACGCGGTGGACGCTGTAGTGGCATCGGATAGCGACCTCACGTGGACACGTGATTTGGCGCCAGAGTCGCTATGGGCACCTGTGCCATCTGGTTATGTCAGCCAAACGTCAACCTCGAACCTCGTTTTCCTTGCTGACATCTGCTCCCAGATCTTTTCGCCTTTGTTTTTCCTCTGTTTCATCGAGGTATAGCGTCATGGGTATACTCACCGCTTGTTCCGGGTGCTCCATCAGTATCGCCCATGGAAAGGGCCAAAGCGCGTCTCAAGGCCTCGTCCTCGTCTTCGTCCCCGTTGAGTTGGCGCAAGGCCAGCTCGTCCATGTTATATAAAGACGGAAAAATAAAGAAGAAAAGAAGAGGATAGGAGATGTGCGCCGATACAAATTTATATGCCGTCAACGCGTGTCAAGGTTCACGGATTAGAGTTTGAAGTTAAATATCTCGAAGCAGTCAATTGCAAAGGTAGCATGTTGATACAGCATGAACAGCTGTGATCACAACTTTAATGAAGACGCCGTCAGAACATTAAAATCAATATGGGAAATAAACAAGGGGTGGTGAGAGTAAACTTCGGAGGGAAAAACACACACTAAACAAGTAGCAGTGACTGCAAGGTGTCTAGGTGGGAGGCGCCAAATGGTCACTTATTGCGTCTCTAGAGATGCCGTTTCTGTTCGGGTTGGAAGGTGCGGCAATGTATTTTTTACTTCCGTTTGTTTGTAAGCGTTCGGTACTTTGTGAGTCGAAGATTCCTAACTAGGTTCCATCAACTCAGTTTGTTCCTGACTTGGAGATGATGTTTGATGTCCTTGAAAAGTCGATCACGTGATGATTAGTCACCCTCCGCCGAAACTACACATATACTTGTTTACTCAAATGGCCACATTTTATGTCAGGGCTAGTAAAAACACAGGGGATTACGATGGTAGCTTACAAGGTCATGTTTATGGTAAATGGGCGGCTTCCTTTGCATATGATTTAGCTATCTAGAAAATGTTAGGCGTATGTCTTTTAGAGATTGCTTTATCGCCTAGGTGAAGACAAAATCCAAACTGCATCCACCACCCGAGGAATTTTTTTTTTAGGATTTTTTTTGGTTTCGTATGTTCGGTGTGTCATGCGTTGTTGTGCTTTTCTATGGTGTGCAATGCCCCAGGCACCACATCGCCCCGAAAAGCATCGATGTGATCCCGCACTGCTTCATTCTTTCTCCTCTTGATACTCGAAGTGGAAAACGGGGTTCTGCTGGGAAATCGCCGTTGTCCTTGATTTGAAGTCGAAGTCAATATCGAAGTCGACGTGAAGTGCTCAGAATATGGTGATAGAATGAGAGCGAAAGATTAGAGCAAAGTCTCCTTCTCGGAGTCTCCTCCTAGGTGCGAAGGCCAATTGGATTGATGAGTTGTGCATCAAGGTGTAAAGAAAAGCACGGAAAAGGAAGAAGGAAAACCTATTGCTGGGTGACTGTCACATGGACCGAAACGCCTCAAAGCTGCCTGAATCCTTCATAAGCAAGGCGCTGTCCTTTTGACAAATGCAAAGAGCAGAAAAACAAACCTAACAAGCTCCGGATGCAGTTTTGCGCCTGGACCTCGGGTCCCAAAAGATGCCAAATAAACCACAATCCGCCACACTCCCCCATATCCTTCCTAGAACCCTTGACCTGTCCTGTCTGAGCCACATTACAGACGATGAACGAAGACCCAATTCCATGCCGGTAAATGTTTCAACTGCCTCGGTCCCAGACCGCGTCACGTACATTAAAACAAACAATATGAAATAAACCAAAGAGGACAAAACAAGGAAGAAAGTAACAATGCCAAAGGAAATTGGGAATAGAACATGCTGGCCAGCTCATGTCCATGTGGAATAGAGCGAGACGGAGGTCAAACCGTGCCGTCTCTCCCGTCACCGGTTCCCATTTGATCATATGCCGTCTACCGTCAACTGTGACGTTAAGACATCAGTTGAAGTCCAAGCCAAGCAGGCACAATGCTTGTCTAAGAGCAGAAGAACAGACAAACGGTATATCAAGCGGTGAAAGACAGTTATGAATGATAACAGATGACAATGAAAAAGACAATAGACAAAAATAAAGCAAACGTGAAAATAGAGAAGTTAGGGCATGAAATATGAAACAGGGCTAGAAAGTCATGAAAAAACAGAAAGCACAAGGAGACATCCCGAATGCACGGCAACGGAAAGTAAACAAACGCCGCTCGCAATGTAAAATTGAGAGCCGTCGAAAGAGATCCCTGTTCCCGCCAATGTAAAGGACATATCCTCACGCAATGACAACAAGACGTAATAAAGGAAATGAGTACCGAAAATAAAACCAAAAACATAGACAGCTAGCGGCAGCGTAAAATAATTGTGCTGCTAGGTGGGATCAAAGTCCGGCCAAACGAGAGCCACAAATGAGCGCCGTTTCGACAAGATTATTTGATCTTTCGCTCCTGAGCGAGTCGGAACCAGAGAGATCAGATAGCTAAGATTGACGGTAGATACCAGGTGACGGAGCCCCGCCAAAAGGTGAATCCAGCTTAAGGATCTGACGAAGGCTGTCCTCCATGGCCGCGATATGAGAAGAGCCGCCGCCGTTGCCGCCGTTTGGTCGGTTCGGGGTCTCCTGAGGCTGACCGTTGGGGTAGCCTTGATGGTTAGGCGTCCCATTCGCAGACGATGTAGAGTACATGTTGTGGTAAGGCGAGCCGTTGTACATTGGTGGCTGTTGAGTGCCTCCAGGTTGGCCAGGGTAACGAGTAGGGGTGGTGGGAGCAGACGCCGTGGGGTGTACGGGGGGCGACGGCGCGGAAGCACCAGTCTTTGAGAAAAGAAATCTTTTCAGAGCCTCGCTGCGGTCATCAACACTGGCCGCAGGAAGTTGTTGGTTGTAGGGCACACCAGCAAGCGGAGAGGGAGCAGTTCCAGCTGCGAGGTCTCTAAAACCTCCCGGTGTCCCTGGGCCAGAGGTGCCATTGCTCTCCGCTGGGCGGGCGGCGCGAATGCGATCCTGAAACGGTGTGGCAAAAGCCGGACCCATGGGCTGACCAGGCGTCCCGTCAAGTTCAGCAGCGGATATCCCCGAATTCGAATTGCGCAAGGTCGGGCCTGGCCGGCGCGTCGACTGCTGTTGCTGATGCTGTGCGAGATCGCGAGGGAAGGTGTTGCCGTTTGAATTGTCGGCCATTGCTTGAGACTGGAAAGGCGGGGAGAAAGGACCTACAGGGGCCCCGTAGATGTTTGCCGAGCTCGCCCGCCTGTTTCGTTCCTTTTCAGCCCGATCAGCCCGGAAAAGGATGTCGAGAGGGGACTCGTCCCGCGCATGCGGGATGCCAGAACCGCCAGTCGGTAAAAGAGGGTTCCGGCGAGCTGCAGAGGGTGCATCGGCTGCATTAGTTGCAGTGGCAGACGGCAGTTCGGTGTCCGACGCGGGAGGCGATGGCTGCTGGCTCAAACCGCTCAAAGGTCGAGCACTAGGTGTCCCCGGAGAGTCTGCCTTTGTGAAGAAGCTGGGCAGCGGCAGGGACGAGGGAGCAGGCGAGGCATGGAATGTTGCACCGGCAAAAGCTGCGACGGAACCAGCGGCTCCTGCAGGCTTTGGACCAACTGTGTGAGGAGGCGTGCGTCGACCGGGCTTGGCCGAGGGAGAATTCGGGTTGTTGTTTTGCTGGTTCCTGTTGTTGCGGCTGCCCGCCTTGCCAGAGGCAGCCTGTGAGGCTGGTGCTGGGCTTTTCGAAGAGACAGCATTCTTTTGCGTCTTTTGGGGTGTCGATGGCCCCCGACCGTTATTGTTCTTCTTCTTATCGTGGGCGAAGTCCGGCTGGAAGGTAGGATCTGCCTTGGCCACGTCGTTTTCGGAAGCGTAGTTCTTGCGGTTAGGCCGACGGTTGCCAGCGCCAGGTTTGCGGCGGTTAGGCGTCTGCTTCACCTCTGTCGGTGGAGGGTCCGGCATCAGAGGCAGTTGTGGGTGTTGTGTATAAGCTTTATGAGGTAGAAAACTGGTCTAGGCTCGATCGAAAGAAAAGGTAATATGTTTGGCCGCTGATGGGCTGTTGTAATACTTGAAAAGATAACACGCTGCTAGGTGACATGGAGTCTATAGGAGACAGTCGAAAAGGATCCGGTTCAGTATGAACTAGAGACACAGTCCTTGCGTCGGAGCCGCGGGAGAGATGATAACCCAGGGCGTTGAAGGACAGCTTAAGGCTAGGTCGGTGCAATTAGAGGCAGTGATGATAAGGCTACTATCGTGGGCTGTGGAAAGCAGATTGTTGTCGCTATGAAAAAGGCCGAGGACAGACCTGGCTCTTGTCGCTAGATATACATGATTTAGCCATGCGGTCCAGCATCATGTCAATTGGACGCAGGACAGCAAATAGAGAACGGACATACCGTGATAGGCGGAGAGACGGCGGATGAAGGAAAGGTGCTGGCGGTGTGTGTCAAAGAGGGCCCGCGGTTGAAGGAGTGACGATGGTTATTGAAGTGTCGGAAGAAGGGGAAATGTGAGTCGTCAAATAAACGTTCAAAGGAGGAAAGAGCAAACGAGTAAGGGAGGCGGCGGGAACGAGCTCACAGCGCGCAATACTAACGGAATGCCACGACGCAGCGCTACAAGGCGGATTGGGAAGGCACGGAATTTGTTTGTTGCCGTGGAGTCACAAAGGCGCGGTGGCGGGGCATCCTATGCTGGAAGGAGTGCGCGAAAGGCGCTATTTGTTATTGCAACATAGAGAGGCAAATGTTCAGTTGTGCTAGGCTGACTTGGCCAATGAAGCAAGAGCGGCCGCCTACCACACCGCCAGGGAGCCGCCTAACGACCAGCACATGGCCAGACCCAGGACAACTATGGGTGGCAAGGCCCAGACTTAGAGCACCAATCATGGGCGCCTTCAGCTTGACGTAGCCCCCGCCTCTTCCTAGCCAGACCGCCTTTATTCACCTGCGGCAAATCGATAACACTGGCGACGTATCTTACTGGTAAGCTGCTGCGGGGCTGGCCTTGCTTGCCTTGCTTGCCTTGGGAACCTTGAGAATTCGGCGGCCTTGTCAACCACACACGATCCATCCATCCCAACATATTTTTGACTCTTCGCATGCCGACAGGCGCCGATACGCTCCTTATCCCAAATATCCACGGTACTCCAATCTTCTTGCTACTTCTGAACCGCCACCCGATCCGATTTATACGCAGGCGCCTTTTGAGTATCATCGGGAGAACATTGGCGAGTTGGTAAGCCACTTTCAGTGGAGGACGCGAACGAGCACTGCTAGAAGCAACGCGAGGACGACAGCCGTACCGCAGCTTGGCGAAAGCTTGGAACAACTTCCTCTTGCTTTCACTCCGGGCGGGAATGCATCGTCGTCCCCGAGCAACTTGCTTTTGTCCACCGTTTCCCCACCTCTGAGCTCCTTGATGGCACGGAGGCTAACTTTCGAGAACGCAGATCTACCGACATACCATCATTCCGACCATCTGCACCCCTACCACAGTACATACAATGGCCGACGTGGACATGGCTGACGCGCCGCCGTCAGTTGCCGTCGTGAAGAAGAAGACCGGCGCTGCCGGCGAGCCTGGCAAGACCCTCGATGATAAGAAGCGCTTCGAGGTGAAGAAGGTATGTGGAGCTGCCGGATGGCCATAGATCCAAATTTTGATGGCCCTATGAGTACTGACTATTGTTTCTTTCTCTGCAGTGGAATGCCGTTGCTCTGTGGGCGTGGGACATCGTCGTCGACAACTGCGCCATCTGCAGAAATCACATCATGGATTTGTGTAAGTATTTTCATATATGGGTTTCTTTCTGTGCTCGTCTTGCCGACTGTAACTGCCTACTAACCGCGTATCTTTCCCTCTGATCAGGCATAGAATGTCAAGCGAACCAGTCATCGGCGACCAGTGAGGAGTGCACCGTCGCCTGGGGTATTTGCAACGTACGTCTCATCCTCAACCGAACTACATTCTCAGAGCCTATACTAACTGCTTTTAAAGCACGCATTCCACTTCCATTGCATCTCCCGCTGGCTCAAGGCCCGCCAAGTGTGTCCTCTCGACAACCGAGACTGGGAGTTCCAGAAGTACGGCCGTTAATGAAACGACCAGCATGCGATGCTTCACCTTCCAAAGCCTCACCCGAGCCGGGCAGCAGACTGACAGATGTTGGTCGAATTATTCGGATGACATGTGCTTTCACCTTTTAAGGACTGGCCAATGCTGGAAGACGAGAGATGAACCGGACAAAAAAGCATCAGCAGCCTTCATGGCATATATGGAGTGCACTCCTACTCCATGATGCCAAAGCTCATTCAGAATGGCCTTGGTGGAAAGACTATCCACCATTGCACGGAACTATGGTATAGACCCGTCGTCCCGATCCCGCCACAGAAGGAGCGGGCGCATTATCGAACGATGGAATAGTGTTTTATAACTTTGCTAAGCATGTATTCTTCTCCTTGTTTTATAAAAAAAATCCTTTTTTTTGCTTCGCAACATGTATGTCCCATTCTGCAGAGCTCCAATATGTTGCGATCATGAACGCCGCGCTTTATGCCCGGGCCAGGACATACCCGCTGTCCTGCCGTCATGCACTCATTTGCACTTCCCTCCGATCGCATTGTTGTGCTCAACGAAGTGCCTTCTCATCGACAACGATCGACTGCGGTATGCTTATGTTCTGATTGTTGTTGCTTCCGTCTCCGCCGACCGGAAGCCACTTGACGGGGTGCTTGTTGAAGAAGGGCCAAGGCGGAATGATGGCGACGAATGACAGGACGGTGCCACCAAGCGCAATGTAGACTGCAAGCTTAATATCCTGCAAGACGTAGCCGACGACAAAGGTGATGGCCTGCGACAGGGACGTTCAAGTTAGCAACACGCCAGGGGAGGGTGGCCAGGTCGGGAAAGATTGGGGATACGTACACCGACAGCACAGAGAAGGACAGTTGCCAGAGTATCGCAGAGTCTCTGGCCCTCGAAGTCCTACGTCTAAGTTAGCATGTAGTTCGCGCGCTTGCTTGATATCGCGTTCTGGGACAACATCTGATGACGTACAATCTGTCCTTCGGCGAAGTCGCGAACTCGGTCGAGCAGCTGGTCGGCCATGACGTCGTCTCTGTAGCAGAATTTCGGGAGGAATATGCTGTCGTGTGTTTGTCTTGTTCCGATAAGGTTCAGGCAACAGAGTCCGGCTACCTTTCCGCAGCCGTGATGGTCGTCGTCGTTGGCTTAGCTTCGTGCAGCGTGGAGCAAAGAATTGGAACGCGCGACCGTCCAAGCACAAAAGCCCTGTTGGACGCTCACTGTGGCTACTGGCAGCCAGTCGCCAACGTGGCTTCACGCCTGTATCTACGGGTCCTCTTCGGCTGTACTTATGAGATAGGGTACCTCGGGGTACATTCACCAGACCCACTGAATTGACTAGCCCAGACTCACTTCATTGTGCGGCTCACGCCAAGACCAGGATATTCCGGATGTCGGTATTTCGTATGTACGCAAAAGATGCTGGGCATGCACAATGTCCGCTTGCCCATACAAAATGCGTGATAAACGAGATGGAAAATGGGCAACCTCCTACGATCGGTCAATGGTCGACGTTGATTGGGAGAAATCAATGAGTTTCTGCAGGCTTTTTATATGCCGTGGTGGAGCAGCAGCTACATTTCATCACACCTCATGCTGAATGCCATTACTTGCTCTGTACTACAGTATTTTGGATGTCTTTTACATGCAGGTCGCATCTGCCGTCCCGAGCTCAGGCCGCGGTCGCTCCGAAAGAAAGTGGCAAATGTGATGGCAAGCAGCGATGAGGGGGAAAAGACATGTGCGAAATAGAGGTGCGAAAAAAGACATCTGGAAAAAGGAGATCTGAAATAGAAATCAGGTAAATTGAGACGCGGTAAAACCACGAGTTTGAAAATGCGATGACGGGAAAATGAGATGAGCAAAAACTACGAAGGAAAGAGCGGTTGACGATACGAACGAAGATGGAAAACGGCAAACAGCCAGACAGTCGGGGACGTCGACGCAGCTTGCGCCTCGCTCCTCTTTGTGGATTGGCGTGTCGTTCGCGAATAAAACGCTGTTCCTCTGGCACACTCTACTCACCCTTACTAAATGCCACTCAATCTGGCCCGGCCCACAGTCATCGGTAGTTGGCGGTGTGTGAAGACCACCCGGACTGGCGCAGCGTAATCAGTAGACAAGCTGCTGTGTCAGTCTCCTAGAACTAAAGAAGGACAGAGCAGGGCGGGAACGATGGACGAAGACCAGCGCACTATTTTGTGGTGGCTTGCGACGTTCAAGACGCAAAGCTCATGACCGCTTCAAGTCTCGGTGAGAAAGAGTCAGAAGGTTGAGCAGCTTTCTAAAGAGGGAAAGACGAGGAGAGGAGGGGCCGACAACACTGGGATACCCTTTGCCGGAAAGGCTAGTGGATAGGACTCATACGAGAGACAGTCTAGGCAAGTCTGGCCGTACTCTTTGGTCAGTGACAAGAGCTGCTCCTCCGAAAGAGGAGAACATGTTTGCAGGTGGTTCTAGGCCAAGGAGTGGCCGGTGCTGTAATTATCTAGGAAAATCTCGAGCGCCTGTGCTGACAGGGCTCACCCATACAGAGAATGCCCTGTAATACCCCGTCGACGCCCCCGAAAACCAGGATAGCGCCGTTTGGCCACCCTCTACCACCGTCACAAGTAAATTTTTCGCCGCCGGGAGGAAAGGGAAAAACAAGAATTTTCATTGCGGTCTAAACCGCCCACTTCTCGCTGTCACAACAATCCTCTCTTTTCTCTCCAAATATCAACAATTTTGCTCTTCTTTCCTTTAACTTGGACAAACGCAACCACTTTTCCTCCTTCTGTCAATACTGAATTGTCAAGCCATTTGATTCTCTAGAGTTTCTTTATCGTCAAGGGAAACCCTTTCACATGATATATACCTCCGATTTCCAATCTTGAACCACCTCCCTTTATCTCACTCCCCATTTGTCGATTTCGATCCGCAACACTGCGCATCACTCTCACAACAACAACAACAGCAACTACTACTACTACAAATACAACACAATCGATTGACATCTTTGATCGTCGTCTTCGGAACCTCTACACCGGCTATTTGTAGCTTCCAACCTCGCAAACCACCCCTCCTGGCTACCTTACTGCAGCCCGCTTTCCCCGTCAACCCTTCGGCAATTACCTCATCAGCTTCCGCTGCCCTTGAATCGTATCTGCTTTCGTTGTACGATCTGCTTCTACTTTCGACACTTTCTCCGTTTTTGTCTCCGGACGAAACGACGCCTCCGTCACTCGAAATTCCACCAGTCGTCAAGTTGGCGGGACCCAGCGCAGCTCGTCTCACCCTCTCCCGTTCGCTCCTCGGCCCCAAGTTTTGGGTCTACAGCGGAGTGAACAAGAAGCCTCCATAACTTGTCCGACCGACAAACCCGACATACGGATTGCGTGGCTTCCGAACTTTTTTCATCATCGTGCGTTACTCTCTGTTCTGACTCCCTGTGTAGCTGCATATTGCACTCGTCGGACAAGGAAGAATAGGGGACAAACAACGCTACCCGGTTTCTTTGCGGCCCAAAGCCGCACGCCGCTGTCCGCCGGCGCCGTACACTTTCCGTGAATGGCTTCCCCCGAGTGAAATTGAGCGCTCTATTGTGGAGTAGTAGAAGAGCAGAGTCCAATAGCCAAGAGCACATCGACCAGACTCAGTCCCAGACCAGCAAGCTAGCCCGCCCGTCAAGCGAAATCGAAGTCGCAAACAACCCTGTCACGGACCATCGCCCGCCATCTTGTTCGGATCCTCGATACAAATAGCAACCCGGCTCAGTATACCGCCAGCAGCAACGATGTCTGACCACGAGGAGAACGTTTCCGACGCCGGGTACGACACCCCAGTCCCGGAGCTCGATGACCACCGCAACCGGCAGCCAACTGTCCACCGCAATAGTCGGCCCCGACGGGGCACCTTTGATTCGCTCTATGGAAGCCAGATGGACCAACAACTCCAGTCTGGTACCCGCGTCCGCGACTTTGAGGAGGCTGTGGTGGATGACGACATTGCCGAGGACGAGCACGAGAAGCGCTCAGCGTCGCCTCCCAACTCGGTCAAGGCCTTTGCTGAAGCGCGCCGTCGTGAGCGTGACGTATCCTTCACTGGAAACAGACCTGAGAGAGAGGGCGAGCATGAGAGCACAGCTGCCCACGGTGGCATGAACCGCACCAGTTCGATTGCCAGTCGTCGCAGTCGCCGCAGCCTTCGGAGCCGCCCCCACACGATCCTTGTGGATGATGATGCTGCCAGCCTCTCCTCCAACAACTCAGCTGAAGAAGATGTGTGCTTCCCTGTCTCTGATGGGCATCACGATGATAACCTGCATATCGACTTTGACTATCTCGAGACGTTCATGCGGATCGAGAGAGAGGAGCGTGAAATCGCCGAGGAAGAGCGCCGTGCCAAGGAGCGCATATTTCCTGATCTCCGGCCCCAGGTGACCAACGAGACCGTCGCGCAGTCGCCCATGGTCACTGCGGAAGGCGACTTCGTCGGTGCCCCGTCGGATTTCTCCGGTGTTCAGGATGAGAAGGCGACCGGAAAGTTGGCGCTCGCCAACGAGGACAAGGAGAAGGAGAAGCTGAAAACCGACGCCGCCAGCACCCATCGTACCCACGCTGGCCATCCAGTTGATCCCAACCGGTACAGCTTCTTCTCGTCGGCTTGGGAGTCGACGATCCATTCGGCCGACTTTTCTGGCCTTGTCCTTCCGGACGAAGATGTCCGCGGTCTGTTCTCGTTCCCCAAGGGCGAGACGGACGGTGTCTGGTGGCTGAACCTGAACAGCCCCACTGAAGAAGAAGCCCGGGCCATCTGCCGCGCGTTTGGTGTCCATCCGCTGACGGTGGAAGACATCACCCAACAGGAGACGCGGGAAAAAATTGAGCTTTTCCCCTCCTACTATTTTGCTTGCTTCCGGTCCTTCAATGTCGTTGTGGAGGAGGACGGCGAGATCGAATACGAACCGTTCCACACGTACGTGATCGTGTTCCGCGAAGGCACCCTGAGTTTCAGCTTCGCACCAAACTCGCACGCTTCCAAGGTCAGAACGCGCATTTCTCTCCTTAAGGACTATGTCGCACTGAGCAGCGACTGGATCTGCTACGCTCTCATGTAAGCTGCGACACGACTTTTCCCCCTCTTCCTGTGCACTTGGTAGTGTGACAGTTACTAACCTTTTGACGTCCAGCGACGACATTGTGGATTCTTTCGCTCCCGTCATCCACAACACAGAGCTGCAAACTGAGAACCTTGAGGACGAAGTTTTCGTCGCACGGTCTGACGACATGCACCGCTTTCTCCGCAAGATTGGCAACACACGGAAGAACGTCATGGGCCTCATGCGTCTCCTAGGTGGCAAGGCCGACGTGCTCCGTGGTTTCACGAAGCGGTGCAACGAGAACTACAAGGTGACGCCCCGCATGGACATTGGCCTGTACTTGGGTGACATTCAGGATCACGTTGTGACCATGATGAACAACCTGGGCCACTGCGAGAAGATGCTGTCGCGCACGCACAGCAACTACCTCGCCCAGCTCTCCATCGACAGCATCTCGCAGGGCACAAACACGAACCGTGTGCTCAGCAAGATCACCTTCATTGCGTCCATCATTGTTCCCCTAAACGTCATCACGGGTCTCTTTGGTATGAACGTCAAGGTTCCTTTCATCGTCTCCGATTACGACAACCTTGGCGCTTTCTTTACCATTGTGGGTGTTATGATTACCTTTTGTATTCTCGCTCTCATTGTTGCCAGACGGATGCGGTACATCTAATTCCCGTGCCCTATACTCAAGGGGCGACTCGCTTCATTCGCTGCCAATCCTTGCGCCGCTCGTTCGATACGACTCTGTTTGCTTTCTGCGTTATGTTGTTAAGTTATTTTCTGTCTTTGATTTGAGTTGTTTTTGGAGCGCCTTTTGCAAAATGTTCTTGCAAAGTGCTCATGCCTGTCTGATTCTAACGGATCTTACTTTTTTTTGGATATCATACGAGACACGGTTTGCTTAAGTAGGTGCTTTGTAATACAGCGCCTCTTTTATGTTGTTTTTTCTTACGTTGATATCTTTCGTCTGATTTTTCGACTCTTATATCTTATAGATGGCCGTGATAAAGGAGTTGTAGAAGGAGGTGGTACATTTTACTATAATAAAAAAAATATCAAAATCAAATACCATCTGAGGCCTTGTTGCATTTAATGTGGACGATACATTTGACCTGTTCTTTTTTGTTACGAGTTGAAACTTGTATCACGTGGTGATAGCGTCCTTATTTAGTGAGGTTAGGTGGTGATTAGATAAGAAATCTGGGGAATTCGTCGATTTTTTCCCTCCAACTATCTGACGGCCACAGCATCACCAAATGCCGATTGCCCACGACGACCACCACTTGTGAAATAGCCTAATCCAGCGACGTGCTCTACGATAAGACGAGTTTTGAATCCCAAATCAAACAAAACCGGAAGACACGCACAAAAAATGAGCGCCACCAGCCTTGACGCCTCGGCCATCAACAACCTCTCCGACAAGGAGAAGGAGGAGCTGCGCCAGTTTGTTAACACCCAGACGCAGCGCACACGGGTGCAGGCTCGTACGTTTTACTTTGTTTACCCCTACGCTGTGTCGCCACGTTTCTGCGCCCTGTATTTCGGTCTTCTTGCTAACTAGTCGCTGTCAGAAACCCACAATCTTACCGAGCTGTGTTGGAAGAAGTGCGTCACGAGCCCGGTCAAGAGCAACACGCTGGACAAGGCCGAGGAGGGCTGCATGAGCAACTGTGTCGAGCGGTTTCTGGACCTGAACATCCTGACGGCGAAGCTGCTGTCTAACATGCAGCAGCAGCATTAAGGCTTGGCGCAACAAGTAGGGCGGGGCCAAGGAGGACACATGGTTCACTCGAATGAGCAGCGAGCACATGAGTGAGGCACGCACTGCGATGGCTGATGAATATATCAGACACAGCTTCACGTTTCATATTATGGAGGAGAGCGGGCTGGCAATGACGAAAAATAGTATACGATATGGTAGGAAATCACGGCATATACCATTAGATCAGTTTAGCACAGGAGAGGAGGATACTACTATTATATGGGCAACGCATCACATTATCTGCGAGCATCCTCAAATTACAACAAAAACGAGAATAATTCAACTCCACATACAAAAACCAGTCAAGCAACCTCTTGAGACGCAAGTCAAAATTGCGCCTTTACATGGTGGCACCTCGTTAATTTACACGAGTCACAAAATACCAAAAGTATTCGTCGAAAAAGAACGGCAGCATGTCCTTACGAATTAAATCATCGAGTGTCATAGATAGTAAAGAGGAAGGTGCTGATTGAGTTTCCACATTTTTCGATTTTTATGTAGATTTAAATTCTTTTTTGGTCCATCTAAGGGCGGACTCCATGTCATCCCATTCATTTCCCATTTTTGAAATCCACGCAGCAAAAAAACACAAACAAACACCACCTCCAAGCATTCTTCAACGCTTAGACGAGGGCCAGCTTGGTGGCGGCAATGTCGAGGGCATCGACATTGGGGGTAAGGCGGGCGTAGGCCTTCTTGGTGCCGTCGGGGCGGATCAGCGTGTTGATCTTGACGGTGTCAATGTCGTACAACTTCTTCAAGGCCTGCTTGATCTGGGCCTTGTTGGCCTTGACGTCGACGATGAAGACGAGCGTGTTGTTCTCCTCAATCTTCTTCATGGCGCTCTCGGTGTTGAGCGGGTGCACAATGACCTTGTGCTCGTCCAGGCGCACGGCATGGGGGATGGACTTGCGCGGGTACTTGGGAGCACGCGACAGCTGCAGGGTCTTTGGGCGGTGGAAGCTGGTCGTGTAGCGGACCTTCTGCTTCTTGTGGGCGCTGGCCTGGAGAAGGGGGGAAACGGGTCAGTACGCAGTCGCATTTGTGATATTAATAACACAAGGTCGATGCGGAGCAAACTTACACCCTTGAGGGCAGCCTTAGCAGCGGCGGTAGCCTTCTGGGACGCTATACACAAAGCCGAGAATCAGCAATCGCTCTTTTGATGAGAACTCGCAAAATCTGCTGCTGCTGTGGGTTGTCGCTGTTGGATTGTAATAGTGGATGGGGGAAGCAGGAGGGGTTGTGGGAAGAGAGTCGACGTCGACAAGCGATGTCACTCGATCTTGTGTTCCACCGTCATCTCCATCTCCAGCCTGCCCTCCTGCTCTGCTCCCATCCTCATTCTCTTTCCAGCCTCGCCGATGGTCGTCTCTACCAACATCTCGTTCGCATCCTTCAACAACGTATTCCCCTCTCCTCGGTGTCACGCAGGGAGAAGGGCAAGTCGCTGTTGGAAGTTTGGAAAAGAGTCGCCGGTGGGAAAGAGACCAGCTCATCGACGAGGAGAAATTCGAGAAGGCCGTAGTCGAACGAACGCCGTATTGCAGAGCTTTCCTTTGGAGTTCTTTCGTTTTGTTCACATTGTTGTGGGTGAAGAGGCAGACGGGGATTCAATCACAAAGCGACCAGCGCTTTGCAATCAAATTGCCTCTTCATGGTGCCAGATATATACCTTTGCCCTTGGTCTGAGTCTTCGGTGCCATCTCGAATGATTTTGAGGGTTTGTCGTACAGTGAAAGGCCGAGTTACGTTTCTTGTCGAGATGTGAAGCAGGTGAAAAAGCCGAGTCCCAAATTGTAGAAAACTTTGGGGTTATTTTTTTTCGCTAGCTTCCAAAAATGGGCGATGGAACGATTTTTTTCCGCTGTGAGAAAACTTAGGGCTAGCACTTTATATTTTCACGTGACTTTTATCGACATGATAATTGGGCCCAATGCTGGCTATCGGTTAGTCAGCCTGACGATAAGCGCTTCTCTCATCCCAACTCAACTTTGTACGACGAGCATCGTCCAGTGTTTACTTTACTTTCGTCCCAACTGTACTTCCTCTCATACGAATATTATGCGGCAGAAATGGCTTTATTATGAAAGCTGGCCTTGTCTGGCCCAAACAAGGTACAACAAATGCACAGAACGTCAAGTAAGACGGGTCCTGACATTCCAGCGAAACCTGCGGAAGCATACATCATCGGATACATCTGATCATGGGTGCGAAAAAGAAGACGTCTCGGGTGAAGACCCTATCTGCCGGCCGGCCGCCAACGGCCCACCCGCCCAAGTCTATCTCCCGTAAGATGACCAAAAAGCTTATCAACAGCCATCATCAGCTTGAGAAACGCCGTCTCCAAGCGGTGGCGCGAAATGACAAGGCTGCAGAAATTGCAATTGCAGCTGAGATTGAGTCCCTCGGCGGCCTGGCTCGCTACCAGCAGGCCAGTCTGCAGGGCCAGCACCGCGAACGTGGTGGCGACAGCTCGCGGGTCCTGATGCAGTGGCTCGGCATCGACCAGAGCGAAAAGGCAACAGGGGCTGAGATGAAGTCCGGGCCTTCGGCAGAACCGAGCTTCCTATCATGGGCTCCTCTCCGTATGCTGGAGGTCGGTGCCTTGAGCATTAACAATGCATGCTCGGCAAGTGGCTGCTTCCGGATGGAGCGCATCGACCTCAGCAGCCAGGGCCCAGGTATTCTACAGCAGGATTTCTTGCAACGCCCACGACCGACATCTGACAAGGAGCGCTTCGATATCATCAGCCTGTCGCTGGTCCTCAACTATGTACCTCAACACAGCGACCGCGGCAAGATGCTGCTTCGTTGTCTTGATTTCTTGCACGAGCCTAACATGGTGTCAATGAGTGGTGATTCCAAGAGCGGGTCGGCGCCAGCAACTGACGAAAACATCCGAAAATACTTTCCCAGTGTCTTCATGGTGCTTCCGGAGCCTTGCGTTACCAACTCGCGGTATCTCACCGAGGAAAAACTGACGGACATGATGACAGTTCTGGGCTTCGATCTGCTCAAGTCCAAGACGTCGCAGAGGCTCGTGTACTATCTCTGGACGCGCCAACGGACAGCACCGACAATCATCCCCCGCTTCACTAAGAAGGAGGTACGCTCCGGGTCAACGAGAAACAACTTTTCCATCGTTCTCGAAGGCACATGAACGGCACTCATCTGGTATTCTCTTTGCGCAGAGCCAATACTCTAGTTTCAAAATTAAATAAGGCGGATCCAGCTTGGTCTCGCTTGAGATTATCCCATCATCGCGACGGAGGAATCACGATGATACCACAAATCTCTTCTCTGCGACAAAAAATAATTGGGCAACTAAAGTTACTACTACAACCCGCTACCACGCACGACAGCTTATCCGCATCATAACTGCTTTCTCTTATTTAACACTGGGTCAGCGGCGTAACCGTTCATCGTCGAGCAAACGGCGAAAGTTCATCTTCAAAGGAAGGCATCTGAAATGAGCGTTTCTCCTCTCCATAGAGAGGGTGATGGGAGACAAAGAAGTGCCGAGCAGAATCCCGACAAAACAAGTTGAGACGATGATCCTCTCAACAATTCTTAGCTAGTGCGCTCGCCAGCCGCTCAGCCCTCTGGTTTGGTCATGTTGTCCTGCCGTTCCCTCGTCTTACTGCATGTCTGAGATATCCCGTGTTGTGGTTCGACAAGGTCGACGATTTCCCCTCTTTCTAGCCGCGCCATGCTCAGCCATGTACCGTCTTAAAATGCGGAGATCCCTGGTTGGAGGCGCTGGATTTTGTCAGATGATACCTTTTTCTCTGTGTGCCATTGGTAATCTACATGATACGGGAAATCTAAAAGAGAGATAAGAATGGAAGCAAAGCGGGTGTAGGTGATGGTTGTCCAAAATGGAAATGAGCTTCACGTTAGTGACAATGCTTAACGAGAACATGAAACAAATAGGAAATCTCTCTTAATAACACTATTCAACTACGGCACGTTATCAAAAATTAGAAAGGTTCTCCAATTAACATTCAGGTTGTAGTTGTGAAAATGGTGAAATGGGGGAGAGAGAGATAGAAATGAAAAAAAGTGAAGCATGAAAATACAGAAAAAGAAATCAACTCCCTTGGGTGGGCTCGAACCACCAACCTTTAGATAGACTATCATTAGGTGGATAACAGTCTAACGCGCTAGCCAATTGCGCCACAAGGGATGCGACTTTTCATAACAACGAGGTGGTTCATTAGCTATATGAAGAAAAATTTGCTAAGAAAGCCAAGCATTGGCTACTGGACCAGACATCGACAACGAAAACTAGGAGGAAAGTTTGGTTCAACCTCGTTTCGCCACGGCTGGCAGTTACCCAGCTGTCTGTACAATTTGAAGACTGGAGTGAATGAATAATTGCCTTTTTTTGTTTCTCTTTGGTAACATTTTGCGACCATGTTAATGAAATCAGTTTTCTTTTCTTAAAAAAAAAATTGATTATAAGATTCATTTTAATATATTTATATACAGTGAATTTCCATAATCGACGGGAAAAAACCGACATCACCGAAGAACAAATAAAATATACGTAAAAAACAGAGAGGTTATAGTATGCTAATCAACATAATAGAAAACAATAAACTAAATATTCCTTTAGCATTTCACACTGCCCCCCAGCAAAATTCGGAGAATGCGTTGGTGGTTGACCACTGGACACAGCGACCCTGTTACCCATGTGATGTGCCACAATATGAAACGCCGAATTTCAACATATGGTTTACGTCGGCTCTCATGTTGTCTGTTTCTGTCAATTTCAACTGGTTGCCCCTGTCACCTCAAGCGAAGCGAGGGCTGCCCGGACTGTTCAAGTCTGGAAGAGCATGGCGAACGTAACAGCATTGTTTAGGAAAAAATCTACATAATCAGTTTGCAGTTTTGTATGAAATGAATATGTGTGATGGGTAGCGGAAGCATCATAACTACCAACCAAATATGTCTCGCGTGCTCTTGCCATTCCCGAACGTGGCGGATCGACGAGATCATATGATGGTTTCCTCCGTGACCTTTCATTCGTTCTCGTCAAATCGTGCCGAAAGTCACTACGACGTAAACCTCTGTAGTTGTTTTCTCAGGTGACACCAATTGCCCCAAACCCCAGTATCTTACGAGGACGCGAGGGTCCGTGAGCTTTTCGTGGGGGAGCATTCGGAGACACAGCCCGTTTATTCGTGGCGAAGGCTGAGCCAACAGACGAACAGAACAAACAGAGAAAAGATACTAAGACACCAAAACACCCACCTAACCCGAGCGCCAGTGTGACACGGCACAGACAAGGGAATGGGCAGGTAGCAGAAAGGAGGTCCGTTTGGGTGCTACGACGGGATGAACAAAAAAACGGAATACGGCAGCAATGCATGGACAATAAGATAAAAAAAAGACAGTCTGGACAGATAGCCCAGACATGTAGAAACTATTGATGTCTTAGCACGGGAACGACGCCGACTTGCGCCTTTTATTTGAATCGCTATAGCTGTAGCGTCTCATACTTGACGCGATGGAGAGGATATCCATGGTACGACGACACCAATGTTTTGGGATCGGCTTAGATCCGGGCAGAGAAACATAAAAATCATGCTTTTTGTTATATCTGTGCAAGAAACTTGAGCCAATAGGAACGAGACAAAGATGCTTTTCAACTGGCCGATAATCTGTAGGTGCCCTTGTTTCCAAGTAAAAGTGGTTATTTTTACACGGGACCCGCGGGATTATGCAGACAAAACAAAGCACGAGGGTAGTACGATGTGTTGGAAGGGGGATGCGCCCTGCTTGCTTCTTGATATGAAGCTCACCACAGCATGCCCGGGATGGAAATGGACACTGTCTCTCTCGTGGAACCAAGAGACGAATTCCGTCTCCGGACTGGCGTTGGCGCACAGAGACATATCACAATCACATCACACTTGCACACCTTGCTACGTACGGCCGTTGGTTAATTGGCTCATTCGACGAACAGAAGGCCGCTGATCGTTGCATAATGAGGGGAAATTTGGAGGATGATACCCGAGAGAATGACAGTGTTCGTCGGAGTAACGAGCAAAAGGTAAGGGAAAGGCACTGTGTGCGGGATACATGGAGGAGAATGCTGTGCTTCGTCGTGCTTCGAGTCTTTCGTCCTCCACTGAGGGCGATCAAGGAGGGCTATTGAACAAGGCAAGCCGTTAGCGATAGACGAGAGCATCTTCAGCTGCACACCGAGCCAGCAAGGTCGCCTATGACGACAGAAGTGCTGCTTGGAATAGTCAATTTGCAATATATTTGCTTGCGCTTTGGTCTCATCCCGCGATGGAGGGAGATAGTTCTTGTCGGGCAGCCCTGGCTTGCAGCGGAGAGCTCTCCGCCTCCGACTACAGCAGCATTCGCTGGTCGGGATTTTGTCGTGCGCAGCAACAGGAGCAGGACATTTGATGGTATCTTATGTCATTTGTTTCATTCCCGTCCATTTCTCATCTATTTTCGGAGAGTGGTTCGTTGACATTGGAACCTCACGAGTATTCTATCATGTTGAATAGTAGTCCCATTCTAGCAGCATATCCCATTTCCATTTCCATATTCTTGTTGTATCCCATGATCCCTTGTTCCCACGGGCCGAGCAGAGTGATGTCTCTTTAGTTTTTCTTACCGTTCCAGGCCAGTAAACGTTGTAATCACTTTGTGCTCGTCGGCCACGGATGCCGCCAGCGGCGCGTTGCCTGGCCGCTGCACAACGTAGCTCTGCAGGCCGGCCTCTTTGGCCGCGGCCACCTCTAGTACATTGTCGCTCAGGAACAGCCAGTTGCTGGCGTTGGGAAACTCCTTGGCGTGCGCCGCCAGGATCGCGGAGTAGCTCGCTGCGGCCGTCTTGGGGCCGGCGTTGACCGTGTCAAAGTAGTCGCTTAACAATGGCGTGATGTCCTTGCCGTGGGTGCTCGCATCGGTCGCCCCACCAACGACGCCCGTGTGCTGGAAGAGCAGCTTCTGGGCTGGCACGGAGCCGGATGAGTAGATCATGAGTGTAACGCCGGCGGCGTGCCACGCGGTCAGTGCCGGCAGGACATCAGCAAACAGGGGCGCCTTGATAGCGCCGGACTCATAGCCGTCCTTCCACAGGAGGCCCTGGAGACCCTTGAGGTACGAGGCCTTGACGTCACGGGCGACGAGGTCCTGGACGTGAGCGGTCAGCGCATCGGGTGACGCGCGGTACTCGGCCGGGAAGGCGTCGCGGTACGGCGCAAACGATGGGCTGTCCCATTTGGACGCGAGCGTTCCAGGGAGAGCGCTCAACGAGTACGGATACTGTATCGAGGGGCAAATAGCAAAGATGCAGAGTCAGTTTACTGTTTGCATCTCCTATATTTGTATCTGTGACGTCTGAGACTAGTAGGAAAACGAAGGTGGCGGCAAGGGTCCTGTGGCTGCATGAAAGCAAAGCAAAGCGAGACATGTGTAAACAAGGACTGTATAGCATAGACTTTACGCATGATACAGACGCAAACGTAATCATAGACATAGACTGCATCACCATCAAAGCATGATGAGTCAATCCAGGGATAAAAAGTATGTCGTCACTTGAAACGAAACCTTTCATCTAAAATAGAGCCCAAGCACAGCACCCTGCCTCTCTTCTGCGTGCTGCCCATTGCAATGTATATTGACTTCGAAATACCGGGCAATCAAGGTGGACTGGAGCCACGAGGGAAGCCTTCTTGGAAAAGGATTTGCAGGGTTTTGGGATAGATTGCACACGGCACAACCGCCTGTTTGGCTGTTTGCTTGATTGCCTGTTTGCATGTTTGCCTTTTCAAGACGGCGAAACGCCCTGTGAGAAACCATGCCCGACCCTCATATTATGCAGGGTTAAGTGGCAGCAAATCGGGGTGGGAATCCAGTGCACTATACGGCGTCTGCAGAGACGGGCCAGAAGGGGAAATGGGGAGCAGGGAAGGGCTAAAACTGTTGGCAGCGCTGTCTTCTCTGTACTGCTGTCGATCATATAGATGAAGCAGCGTAAAGACAGAGTTCCAGAAGTCCGCAGAGGCCAAGTGTAGGCGGTGGTAAATGAGGAGGAAGTAAAAACCGGTGAAATTTTGTGCTGTTCAATGAGGTGAGAGCGGAGTGAGAGACAATATGGTGTGAAGCACGGAGGTGAGTTGGGTCCAACGGTCAATGCAAGGGAGGAGACAAGGAGAAACAGAGTGACAGAACAGCAGGCGGTTGTCAAAGCGAGACACCAAACAGACGGAATAGGGTAGCAGAGGACCAAGAGGTAACGGTAAAGAACGACAGATAGGAGAATGGCTTACGAGCACATCCTTGACGAATGAGATGGGGCAAACGGTGCCCTCTACGAACAGAGACGAGACACTACATTAGCCGTCTGGTCAGGCAAATACGCAGGGACGAGCGATGCAGGTTGGGCACCTGGCTGAATGCAAAACAAAAAGACAACAGACAAGACAAATGCGGCAAAGGGCTTGGATTTTGTTCTCACCAATGTCAAGTAGGACCACTTGAATGGCCTTTTTGGCGGTTGTAGCAGCCATTGTGATCTCTGATAATGGGAGAACGGAGGGGTAGGGGTAGGGGGGAGGAGGGCAAGCGCCGGGAGTGTCCGAGAAAATCAAGACTGAACTCCGACAAAAAAACTCAAAAATAGGATGGAGTCGCCGAGGTCGATTGTCGGTCGGGGAGTTATGATCGAGAAGGCGGTCAGGACCCCGAGTGAGTAGAAAAAAACGACGTACAAAAAGACACGAGAGGCGAATTTTGCTCCGGAGGATCGATGCCGAGGTGGCTGGAAAGACGAGGACAAGGGGGATCTATGGATGCGATGTAAAGGCGGTGAGGTAGAAAGAAAATTTTTTTCCGATGCGATCTCCCCTTTCGGTTGTTTTTCAATATTGACTTTGTGATAATTGTCCTATTCCCTTGCAGCTACCAAGCGCGTTCCGCGTCTTGCGTCTTTGCTGGTTCGTTGAGAGTTGGCTGTCGTCAGCCTGTGGCGTTTTCCGGCCTCGTACTGGCGTTTCCTCTTTTTGATGTCAATGCAGCTGTGCACCTAGCAAAACGTGCAGGACTGGACCAGGTTCAGTTGCCTTTGGACGTGCGTGGGCCCCCAGAAACTCAAAGAGCCATGAAGAGACTCCACAAGGACCACAAAAAATAGGAGACAGCTGCGTGCTGCAGGTGGCCCGGTGCGATAGGTCGGTAGGGTGGATCGTGGGGCCGAAGAAACGAGACGAAAAGGTACGCAGTATCTAACAAACGGCACAGGGGCACGGCAAGATGACGAGAAAATACGACAGAGGAAAGCAACTGAGAGGTAAACGCCACGACAAAGACGGAATAGTGGCCCGGCGAATGCAGAACTTTGGCTTCAACGAAGACAAAAAGGACCGTCACAACGGAGGACGTTGCAGTTAGACTGGATACGTTCTGCAGACTGGCTCGTCGAATTTGGGATACGCAGGCCGATCGAGAAAGTGGGTAGGGTGGCAGGACGAGGAATTGCGGCGTCGTGAGAACGTAGAGGCAGCTGATACCAAAAAAAAAAAATTGAGAATGAAAATCAATTCAATAGGAGAGAGGGAGCGTGGCTTGCTGTCCACGGCGATGAATCTGCTTGTCTGGCCCAGTCGCACTTTCTTTCTTTGGTCGTTCGAACGCAGGAAGGAGCCCCGCTTGCTTGCGTGATGAGGCAAGTGCCCGCCGCGGCAAGGAGCTCATCTGTGTGACAAATGAGTGCGGATCGAGCCAGAGGTGGTCGAACAGAAAGGCGGTCAAGAGTAAGCTATTGTGGGCTAGTCCAAAATAAGACTAGTTCCGGCGGGCTCTTTCTACTTTTGAACCAACCTTGTTCAAAACGGACGATCTCCAACTTGGGTGGCAGGCACGAACAACGAACAGCAAACAACCGCGCATCGCGACAGGCGCTTCAGTTTCGCTAGTAGATGTGGGTGGTGTCAGAAAAGAGATTATCGGCGACGAGTAGGACACAACGACAGAAAATACGAGGCTCAGGTTTTTCGCACTAGGCACACGATGGAAGGCATGCATGAAGACGATCAGGTGCATGCAGTGTGGGAGAAACACCATGAGAGTGGTCTGGAATAACAGCTGCCATATTTGCCACATCGTCGACATAACACTGGTTCTGATTGTGTTGGAAATAATGAAGAGAGGGGAGGGACGTTACGTAGTATGCTGATGCTTTGGCGTCCTATGATATCTTTTGGTATCTTTGATTCTGTAGATAGACACCGGCAAAATGCTGTTGTCAATGCGAGCAAAGTGGGCCTACACCTCATAAATTAACACTGGGCACGGCAACCGGTTCTCTGCAGAAGAGACCAGTCAAGCCCGTATCAGACGTGTATAGTACCTAGTAGTTGCCAGACGGGTGACAAAGGATCGAACGAACGACTGATGGACAGCCAGACGGGCGACGGACTGGAGATGCGTTGTGAATCGAAGATGCTTTCGCACCGTCGGCTTGCTTGCAACAATAGGGCGGACAGCGATATGCGCCTTGGGCAGAATGGGCAGTGGATGCATACGCAGTCGTGGCTAGAGTCAACAGTCGATTGGTGGTTGTTCCTTTGCTATCGGCCGTGCACATCTTGCGGACTGCGAGAATCGTTACTCGAACGACCGAACGACCGCCGACCTTCGCATAAAGTGTGGCAGTCTTTTGTAGCCTTCTGCCGTGTTGAAAGAGCCTGCCCGTGTGTTCTGGTTGGCCAAGTGAGACACCGTCTTACACACAGTTGAAGCATCGATCAACATCTGCAAAGCGAGCACGTACACAAGCTGGAGGAACAACCAGCAGAAAAGGCAAGCTGTGCAAGTGGCTTGCGAAAGAAAACGCATAATCCAGGTGGATTGGTGTACGAAATAGGGAACGGCCAGACTAGCATTGGCTGATGTGTTTTCTTTTTCGTCATTCTTTATACTGAGAAATGGCCTCCACGGAGCATATTATGCCCGGCAACGACTCAATGACCAGCCAATGGCCGGACCGTGTCGTTGGTGTGTGCAGTATTCTCGACCTCGCTTTGTCTTCTGAGTTCATTTAAAGACGAGGACGGAGTACTCGCTCGATGCATTCCATGCGTCGAGACAAATGCGGTCTGGACACCAAACGGGACAGCAGAACGCCTCAAGAAGCTCCTGGAGGCATGTGGAAGATGAAAATTCTGCAAACCATCCTTTTGCACGAGAGGAAAGAAAAAACACACCATACACCGCATTTTGTGTGTCGTGTCGTTTGATTTCGAGATCCATCTGTCTCGCCAGTTGTAATGTTTACTGTCCCACTCTTGTCTGTTGCATGTGTAAGAGTGCGCCGCGGAATAAAAAGTGGCACTCATTTCGTGAACATCAAACACGACGGGGCTGTTTCTCATTCTGGCGAACGTAAGGAGTTCTAGGAAAATTTTCACTCTTGACCTCTTGACCGCCTTCTCGAAAACTTTTCGAGCCAAGTAAGGCAGGGGAAAGAATGCAATGGGACATTCGCCTCTTTGGACCACGATCGTGCTCCATAACGAGTTCCCCCAGAAGAAATAAAAGCTGGCTGTGCTATGGGGCTGCCATGGGCATGGGGGTGGGTTCTTTCTATCCAGCTACCATCGTCAAAAGAGGCCCAGAAGATTCAATTTGGATGCGTACGAATCGTATGTTCGGTAAGGTTGGATTGTATTGAAAACTCATTTTTTTTCTTCTCCTTGGTCGGTTTTCATGTCTTCCAGTGAGCCTCCTTGTTCAGTGCGGGCCGTCGGTCGCTAATCCGTTTTTGTTTTCTCACTTTGCCCTTTTCTCTCCGTGTCCTTCCTCTCTCGTCATGCCGCTACTGCATCGTCCCTGCACCAGATCCCCTGTAACCTTGAAGTCTTTGAAGTAGACATGGAGAGCACCAGCCACAAGAATTTCAATGTTTTCGGACACAAACTGAACCGTGGAACCAACAGAAACAGACAGCCGCGATGCCGACGCTGCTTTCCTTCTGCCCTCTGACATCTGCAGGTCTCAGACGTAGAATCGTCTCCACAGCGCTACTGCAGGTCGTTTGCTACTAATATTTGAATGTGCAGCATTACGCTTCGCTGTCAGGCTGTTTTCTGTAATTCAATACTCGTACTCGTAGGAGATGTGGAATAAGTTTACACGATTTCAATATGCTCTTCTCGGCACCATGAAGATGATGGAAACAATCTTCTCACCGCAAAGTGTACCAACAAGCAGTCCACTTGTTGAATATCGTGTCGGCCAGGGTACGACCCTCATATGCTGTGCCACTTGTCTACGACAGTTTTGTCTTTTTCTTTGTATTCGCGTGTGTTGTGCTGACCTGCCTCGTACGTCGTTATGCACGACTCTGTATTGCCGTACTACAGCTTTTTGTCTTTGATACGAATTTATATGAATTTATGTACAGTTATTTTGTTTCAAAAGGAAGAGACCCAACAAAAAGCTCGTCAGAACGTCCGTTCTGAGGCGAAACCACGCCAAGTCCCAACACCTTGGTCTGTCATGCTGAATTCTTGCACGCATTTTGCGCTCGAGCATTGGCGCAGCACCGGGAAAACATCATACAGCAGTTAAAAAAAATCAATTTACCATTAAAAGTAAAAAAAAAAACGGACAAAATAAAAAGGCAAAATGTCTACCCTGACAGGGGGAGATGCAGTAACCTGCCGCAGGTGACCCGCGAGAGAGAAACACGCAGGACACGGCGGCCCGCTTCCTTGCTGGCTGCAAAGCAAGGTAAATCGTGCAAGCGTGTTGCCAGAACCAGGGGGTTTCATTGTCTGGAAAGCAGTGTCTTTGGTGTCTTTGCTCTCCCGTCTTTTAATTATCCCCCCTACTCTTTGCAAAACACAAACAATGCATTCCACAGTCTGTACAAAAAAAACCTGGACACCTGCTTCGGCCGCGTCAATGGGTACGACTTTGGTAGTCCCATAACACGCCCAGCACCAGGAAAGCACGGCGATCGGGATGTGCTGAAACTTCAGGTTTTTAGTTGTCTTTGCTTTTGAACTGGCATATCTTGGCTCAGGCCAGAAAACCTCCAAAGTACTCCGTACAGGTTGTGTTTGGATACTGTAAGCTTCTTCTACACCGGAGTGTCTACGTATCTCGACATATCATGTATCCTATTTTAGAGAGACAATGTATGGAGCTCATCAATTGAACGCGTATATATGTCTAGATTCGTTCGTTAGAAAGATGCTAGTCTTTTGATACCGAAGAGATAGCAAGAAGAGAACGAAGACGTTAAAACAGAGTATCGCGCTACGGCACTTTAGTACCTCTCCCATATCTTTTCGCTGTGGAGGTACATCCGCATGTCCGATAGGCCATCGGATAGAATTGCAGAATGGAGAGCATGTTTGAGCATCTCGACACTCCCTTCCTATCCCTCCTTTCCTTCTACCGGTTGTCTAGTGCTTTTCTCCCGTACCGGTACGCCGCACTTTGTACGGCTTTCACCTCTCCCTGGGAGGTTTTGCATAGCAGTCAGGACACGTCAATTTGCCGCTCAACCGGCAAGGGAGCCAAATGTCAAGGAATGGGGAGACCCTTGGCCAAAGTCGTTTCATAACAGGAGCAAAGTAGGTGGAGATGGAGACAAATCACAATTGAAACAAGCCAGAGAAAGCGCAGCTTTATTTCACCGCTCTCTCGCAATACACGTGTCGCATCCCAAGGGCACGACGTAGAAAATAGTGGAACGGAGAGGAGCAAATTGAACACGAAGGGTCACGAAAGGCCAAGTGAACTTAGATACCATTTGCCTTATTTGCACAAAGTCCACTTTTGCCAAACCAACCAGGCGAATCGCTAGGGACAAGATGGCAGAGAGACTTCGGCACTCATTTTTGTAAGATACCTGCTGTCGACGAACAATGCAACATGAAAGTGAGCGGGCTCATTAGACCGGTCCAGGCCAGGCTAGGCCAATCCTTTTTACACGACACAGTTTCCTACTGTTGACGTCCAAGGAGAGGCATTCCCCCCGAATTCTTCTTCCCTTTTGGGCATCATTGGCGTTTTCGGTTATGTTTGTCTGCCAGAACGAGACAGACTGGCTCCTACTTTTTCGTACTTATATTCCAATGGTTCACTTTAGATGATCTGTGTATTGCTGCGGCGAGTCTCTTGAATCAATTGACTTTCGGTGCTCTTTGGTGTGTCCCTGTGCCAGGTTAACGAAGTTCCGTGTCACATAGCTATGGCTGACAGGTGAGAGAGGTATGGCCAGGCCACACAGAGGCCAGGCCCGGCTTGTCTGCCGGTTGGAGATCCTAGCTATGAAGGTCGTTTCAATGTGCACGAGCGCTGGCGTCCTCCTTTGCTGTTTATAACACAAACAACTCATGCGACACCTACCAATTTATGTCTGAACATTAAGGAGAGGAGAGACAGGTATTGCGATGTACGCAGAATGGAGCTCGTTGTTCGCTCCGCGAACCAGGGAGGTCAGTATTGAGTAAAGCTGCGTGATCTTTCTTGTCTGGCCGCATTGCTGTTTTGCTCTACCAAGCTTACCCCAGTTTTCTTCATTTTGTGTGCTCTGTATTGCACCCACAGGCGGCGACTTTACACTATTTTTGGTATGATATTACTGCCTCGGCCACGGGCGCTTCCAATCCCTGCCAGCGAGCGAACGGGTGGCTTGGAGTGCTTCAGAGCCAGCCGCTGCTCATCCTGGCGAGCACACATCCACACGATGCTCTAAAAGACGGGCCAAGTGTACGACGTACCTCCATACTGGAGTTGGCATGAAAACGGTACCTCTCGCCCTCGGACACGTCGCGCCTTCCCTTGTCTCCTGCCCCCTGCTTCGACCTTTCCTTGACACGGAAATGTCGATGGGGCAGCGACTCGTCGAAGAAGGCGGTCAAGTACTGGGGCCGCGCTTGGAGCATCCGCTCTCTGCACAGAAAGACGAGGAAAGAGCGCGACTCGCACGCCCAGCCAAACACGGGGGAGGTGGAGAACTAGAGCGAGACGCAGGCGAGGGCAGGTTCGGCAGGATAAGCACGATATGCAGGAGGGAAGGAGTGCAGGACGCGCAGGAAGCGTCAAATGGTTAAAAGGGGGCGAGGAACAAGGAAAGAGCGACTCGAGAGGAGGTGGTGTGGGTCGCCAACAAGCCAATAGTGCTCCGGCCTGGCCGTGAACACCAGCTCTCTTTCATCCTTTTCTTTGTCGCTCGTTCACCAACAAGGTGCGCGCTGAGAGACCAGTAATACAGTGCCTCTAATACTGTACATGAGATTATGCAAAAGGTTGATGGCTCTCAGTGGCGCTATGTTTATTTGCATCTAATGGTTTCTAGCGCCTCTGGACACCACAAAACCCGCTCAGTACTGTCAATGTGTTCTGACGGACAGTTGGGCTCAAGGAATGGAGTACTTTAAAGGGACCTACCCCCAGTCTGGTATAGTGACTTCGACAATACATCACATTAATAGTGATTGGGCAAAATTGGTACACATGACAGAGGTTCCCTTTGGGAAATGCATTAAGTGAATTCAAGGCGCGACCGAGGTATCTCTTTTGTACACAGTGTAGAGTGCTGCCCACTCTGGATCGAGCCACAGCATGATTCCACCCAACAACACATTCTTCCCATCACCCTGTACGATGCTGTTCGTTCCTGGCTCAGAGTTAGAAACGGCCAACACAACAACGCAACACAAAACAAGTAAACAAGCACAAAGTCCATAACGATAACAACACCGATACCCGTCGAGTGACGGCATTATTTGGATCAGTCGAAAATGGCAGGTACCTAAGTCTCCAGTAGGAAGTGGCTCTTTGAAACGAGATACCACAATTATGTGCTCGGCGGTCTTTGTCAAAGCAAGATGGCCTCGTTCCTGTGTCTCCTTGTGTCCGCAAAGGGGGAGGGAGGGTGCGAATTGACTCCACGTTCGTATCTCTTTTTGCGTCGCGTGCTCTTCGTCATCCACTGCTAAAGAACCTCGTCGAATCCGCCTGTTAGGCAGGTACGAAGGCAACCGTGTGAGGCATTGTGGCAAGGCGTGTACCCACTATCGGCGCTGTCGACACGGTTCCTCTGACTTCGATGCTCATTTCCCCTGTCCGCATTTTTTGTTGTCCTCTGTCACTTTAGCCAGTTTCTTGCCATCTTTACTAGTCATTCTCAACAGAAACCCCCTGCACCGCCCCTATAAGAATAGCACTTGGAACCGCTACGACGCTGCACCGATAACGAGGAACCGCACTTGTATCTCCCGCGCATCTTAGAGTGCAAAGGTACCTTGGCCTGCCCAGTCCGTGAACCAAGGTCGTGAGATTCGCACACCCCCCCGTCACTCAGTTGTCGGTCCAATTTGCGCCATTCCTCATTGGGCGCACCCCATGATGATGCATCCGCACGCCAGACGAGCCCAGCCAACATCAAAGTCCTGGTCTTCACACTGTGTTAATCACTCCTTCTTCAGGCCAAGTCTCTTGGCCTGAACCAACCAGAACGGGTGAGGTTTTGTTTAGGGCCTGTTCTCCCGTCGAGTTCCGGTTTGTTTCCAGTGCCTTCTACCGCCTACCGTTCGCTTCGACTGCTTAGGTGTCTCGATGTTTATTATTGTTTTAGCTCTCCTCACTGAAAGCACGGCACTACGAGTCAACACCCCCTGCTCCGTAGTTACCTCGTGGAATCCGTCCTTCTCACACTGTCCTCGAACCGCCGTTCGAACCTGCACCGCTCTTTCCTCATCAAACTCAATGCTAGCTGGCCATCGATCTTTCCCCCTCCAACCACACCACCCTTACACCCCCCTCTAGCGAAGGCGAGCCTTCGCCGTCCACCGCTTTCGCTCTTCGCTCCTTCCCCTACTTCTGACTCTTCGCTCTGTTTCGCTGTATGCACCTTGTAACCACCTCCTCCCACCGCCATCTCACTTGCCATTCCCAGCATTCCCAGCTTTCTCTTTTCTCTCGTGCTCTTTCCTCCTCCTTCCTCTCGTCTCTTTTACTTCCTCTCTTCTTCCTTTCTAGTCCTTCATATCCCACTCACTTCCCACTCACTTCCAGTCCGCTTCCGCTTCCTCTCCTTTCTCTTCTCTCGCTCTCCTCCCTCCTTTCACCACATCAGTCACCGGCTCCCGTACAACTGCAAAGACGGCCAGGCACCCACGAGGCTCATCTGCCTTCCAATCGCCACCAAACACTACCTGCCTGCCAACGAACAAAACGACATTGTACCTTTGGTACTGGACTCGAAATATACAAATACCCTCGGCATTTCCTGTTCACTTGCACAACAATTCCTTCCAACCGTTTTGTCCTTTGCCGTTCGTCGGGGCCTCCAAGTGTGATCTGATAGATGCTGAGAAAGTCCTCCCGGTCTCCACCAATACCCGAAGACTCTTGAACTCGCGTTACCACCCGCTTTCTCTTTTTCTCTCTTGGCCGTGTGCCACAGACCGACAAGCAACAAGCAACTACTTTCGATATCGACGTCTGCAGCGGTTTTTTGTTGTTGTGAGAACTTAACACGGAGTTCGACCTCTCCTTGGGCCTTGACACAACCGCGTGACTCTGACGATAAGTGGACCGCTCCGTATTGGACCGGACCTCTTTTGCCTCAACGTGCTACGCCTCACCAGGAGAAGCTCCACCGTCTGTTCCGGCTGCGCTCCAACGCGCTAGGCACAAAGGTCATCGGGTCGTTGCGAACACGGCGGGTCGAAGAGTCACACTCTTCACCTACCTGTTCTGCCTCGGTGCGTCATCATCCTGTCCCCGGATGATCACGGTCGTACCCGCTTTGATATAGCAACAGGCTTTGTACGTCACGTACAGAATCTGAACTGCTTTATCTCGTGCCACCCTCTCTTCCTCTGTGTCCTCATCGAGGCTTTGTTCCGAAACTCGGCTCTCGTTATTCGTCCTAGAAAAGCGACTTTGATTTCTTCACCTTCCTTGTCCCTCTTCTCGCCTCATCTCACGTCGATCGTGGTCCTTCTTCGTTGACGAATTGTCCATTGTTTCACCAACGACCTCGAAGTCTTTCAATTTTGGACGCCATTTTCTGCTTCCTCTCAAGGCAACGGTTTTTCTTTTCTCAAAAGAAATCCGGAGACAGTCATTACTTTTCTTTTGTTTCTTTACGCCCTTTATTCGGTTTCTCCTTTTCAGCCGAAACTCCGCACACACAACGCCATCGTACCGATGTCATTATAACGACTCCACCGCTTTTTCTTGTTTTAGTTCTCCTTTTCAGGACAACTTGTTCGATCTTTCATGACCAGCTCTCCCATCACTTAGTTTTCTTTTGTTTTATTTTCACCATCTGAACATATTCTTTTTCCCTTCTACACCCTCAATGAGCCTCTGACAACGCAACGACTATTTGGAGTTTCCTTGCTTTTGCGCATTTCCGCCTTGATTTTTTTTTTTAATTTTTTTGTCCACACACGTATGAACAAACACCACTGTTCGACACCCTTACTTTCTCTCCACCAAACGACTATCTGACGCGTCCGCCACCGGCACAGCCTTGCAAGCGACAAACTGATTCACATCCACCCAAACGGACTTTCCTGGAGATCACCCTGTCTCCAACACATCCGCCATCATTCTGTCGAGTCAGTAACCGAAGGGGGCTTCCGCGCTTCCCTGGAGGAACGAGCCTTGTGCTCCGGTCGACGACTGTTGTTGAATCTGTACCATCTCCATCTTCTCTCCGCTACCAACGTTTTTCTGACGATCACGACGCCTATATATGCCCCTTTCCTTCTACCCCAATCGATAACAACAGTCTGAGAACCACTCTGCCGACCGCCTTGTTTCTCGTTTCTGTGCTTCTCCTCTCACCACTGACTTCTCCACCTCTCTCCATCGTCTCCCTCTCTGCCTTTCAAGGTCTTTCTTGCTCTGTGCTTCTTTTACGCAATGGCGTGCTTACGCGAGAACTTCGAAGGTGGGGTTGTCCTTGACGGACGGTACCGCACTATTTCTCCCCTCAACCATGGCTCTTTTGGCATGGTCTTTATGGCTAGACAGCTTGAGACTGGTCACAACGTGGCTATCAAATGTCTGACCAAGAAGGCTGCTGCCGACGAAGCTGGCCTCGACTTCGCCATCGATGACAAGTCTGAAGAGCTGGATTTACATGGCCGTTTGGGCAGGCACCCAAATATTGTCAACTTGGTTGACTCGTTTGAGACCGAGTCGCACGTTTACCTCGTTCTCGAGTTCTGCCCCCGTGGTGACCTGTACGAGGCCATTCGCAACGGCCAGGGACCCCTTGAAACCGAGCACGTCCGCCGCTTCATGTTGGAACTGGTTGACGCCGTGGAGTACATTCATTCCAAGGGCATCTACCACCGCGACATCAAGCCCGAGAACATTTTCCTGACTCAGTCTGGCATCATGAAGCTCGGTGACTTCGGCCTGGCTACTACCGAAGAGTGGACGTACGAGACTACCGTGGGCAGTGACCGTTACATGTCCCCTGAGCAGTACGACTCGGCTGGCGCTGGCTACTCGCCCGCGCAGGCTGATATCTGGGCCATTGGTATCTGCATGCTCAACATCCTCTTCTCACGCAACCCCTTCTCCACGCCGACCGAGGCCGATCCCATCTTCCTCGACTTCTCGCGCGACAAGCAGTCTCTGTTTGATGTGTTTCCCAACATGTCGCAGGACACTTTCGAAGTGATTGTCCAGTGCATGAACCTCGACCCCAAGAAGCGTTCCTTGGCTGGTGTTCGCCATGCCCTGCGTCGCGTTGTCAGCTTCACCACCCTCGACGAGGCCCTCGATGACTTTTGCTCTGTCGACCGCCGTGTTGTTGCTTCGGCCAACCGTGAACCTCTACGGACCCCATCCATTCAGAGCCCCATGGTTGAGAACGGTGCCGCTTTCCCGTGGGCTAAAGCCCTGCAGACTAGCACCCCGCAAGCCATACGCCAGCTCAGTGTCATCCCCGACAACGAGAGCTACACCGAGGAGCTCTTCTCCAAGTCTGAGGCGACAACAGCTGATTGGTGCTCGAATATGACCGGCGAGACTCCGTCCATGGCGTCCGTTCTGGACTCCAGCCTCGGCGCTTCCATGACCTCGCTCGCCATCAGCCAGCCCAAGATGATCCCTCAGCCGACTACTTGGCAGTCCAAGGTCTCGCCTATGGCAGGCTCCCTTCCGATCACCATGCCTCGTGCGCGCAACGCTCCGGCGATGTCTCTTGTGTTTGGTCGCAAGGACGCCGTTTCCAAGAGCTGGAGCGACATGTGGGATGAGGAAGAAGAGGAAGAGGAAGAGCGCCTGCGCCAGCTCGAGTCGCTTAAGAAGCTGAACGCTCGCACTTGGAGCCAGGACAGTGTCAAGGAGGAGGTCAAGCCAGCCATCGAGAAAGTGAGCAGCAAGCTCAACATGCTTAGCGACGACGACAACACACCTCGCCTTGGTCTGTCGCCCGCTACGAAGACTTTGGTCGTGGATGTTCCTGCTGCTGTCGACCGCCAGCCCGTGCCTGCTGTAGAGGCCAAGGATGATCTCGAGCTCGACGACGATGTTCTCTTTTTCTCTGATCCTCTGACCGAGGAGAAGGAGGTGAAGAAGGAGCAGAACCGCCAAGATTTGGACAGCTTCCTCGGCCGCAAGGAGGACCGCCATCAGCAGATCCATCTCTCGGTTCGCCTGCCGAACTCGACCGTGTCGCCTGGCCCCTCGCCATCCAAGTCGCCGTTGTCCTTTGACAAGTGGGAAGCCCTGGGTGAGCGACGCAGGGCCCACACAGGACCGTCGGTGAATCTCGAGTCCAAGTCGCAGGGTCAACGCTACGGTCAGTCTCTTGGCTACAACGTGAAGTCGTCGTATGAGCGTGGCACTTCGAACCACTTCGGCAATGCCTACCACACCTCGTCGGGCCATCACTTGACCAACACCACGAACAACCACTCCAACGCCACTTTCAATCCCCACTACGTCAATGTCTTTTCGCACAATCATTCCAACAGCCCCAACAAATTTAACGCGGGCAAGGAAAATATGCGCGACCGTTCCAAGGGGCGTCCCTGGAACAAAGGCCGCGACTGGAACTGGAACTGGCGCCGCGATCGCCGTCCCGATTTCAGTAATGTTGAATGGGTTGGTGGCTGGTAAACGGACAAGAGGCCGACGCCTCTTTTCGACCAGGCCACCACTTGTGGTTGAACTAACCTTTTTTTTGTCTTTCATTTTCCATCGAACCCTCCCAAAGTTGTTGGAGGTTAGATCTTGCTGATTCTCTGGGATTCTCGGGCATTTCGTTTCATTTTGTCGGTTTTCTTCTATATCACACTTTATGATTTGTCTCCTGCCGTTTTTTTTCTCCTTGCTCTTCCCCTTTTCCTATCCTTTACATATCACTACTGACGGGAAGGGGTTTGGTTTTTCTTCATGTGTACAAACAAGTTTGTCTAAACCACTGTCGGATTACAAAAAAAGATTGGGGAAAACAAAGCGGGGGAGTCTGAAAGGGAATGACAAAACCCCTTGATGCGTTATAGCTTTCCTTTTTTTTCTTCCTGGTGTTTTCATTTTCCTGTTTTTCATGCATCATATAGCAGGCGTTCACGGGCGGTGCGACCATTGTCGCACTTTTGTCTTTCACGGGCGATTTTCATTCATATTTTGGAGGCTTTTTCTTTTTCTTTTTTTTGGAGGATGCAGAGAATCTCAGGTATCAGCAATTTCTATTTGGTCGATGCGAACTTGATAACTAGTTCAACTCGCTCCTCTGCGTATTTAGATAGCTACCTTTTTTAGAACAGCCGTTGGCAATACCAGAAGTTACCCACTCACCAAAACACACTGCTCCAAATTGCATTTGTGAAGTCTTGTAAGAAATAATACTAATGCCATTCAGCAACATCGTTGAAGGTGCCTTGCTGACTCTATAAGCGGTGTGGTTTAGCTGTCACGTACAAGACAAATCGTGACGTGTTCATGAGTGGGATCGTTTTCGATGCCGAGCAATGCAATCCGATGTACACCAGTGTCCGCCATGTGCCGCCTAATATAGTCCTATTTAAAGGTTACCAACAACGAGCAGGGGGTCTCTATCGTTCGTCATTTTGACTTCACACCTTTATAAATATGCAAGCCTGCCGTCCCTCACCCAACCTACCAGGTAGTCCGAAATTGAACTGCAGAAATGGACGGCATTACGTAGTTGCAGGAAGCACAAACCTAGATAATCTGAGAGGAGCGCCCCCCACCTGCATTTTTCAATTAGTTGGGGAGTATGCCGGCAAAAACCGGTAAAAAAGGTGAACGTGCAACTCAATCGCTTTACGTCTCGTCTTCTTATCTGCTGGCTCCTATTTAAAGTAGCGTCCGTCGTTTCAATGAGGGTTGCCCCTGCGAGGAGATAAGAGAAAACGCAGCCAGATACGTCGTATCGATAGCTGTGAAATTGGGTATTTTGTCTGTAAGAGAGGGCAACATGCAGCAAGATAAGAGGTCCTGACTTTCCCAGCATACGATTTACTACGTCGTACTGGGCTTTTGATGACGAGATACTCATTACTCACGATGCGCTGCCTCCGAACGCAGCAAAGGAATAGAATAATCATGACCATGGACTTTGTTCTCGGTCGTGGAAAGACACTATAGTTGGGGAAAGGAGGCTTGCAGTTTAGGGAGCGGACCCGCTTAGCGCCAGTGTCGAGAATAAAACACGCGATGAAAACATGCCACTCGAAAAAGGACGGGACGCGGTCGACGAACCAAGACCCTGATCAGTTGAAGCCACCGCATTCTTGTGACCTGTCCTTCCATGACGCCGTCTCACGTCCGCTGCGCCAATGCACTCCGCATCCAAAGTGGCCGTAGGATGCGCCGTGCATGAGATATGAAAGTGAGGGGGACGTTCTGCACGACAAGATTGGTGTCTGTAAGGCCTTCGCGTGTTGTCATCTCAGCCACCCGCGATCTATGTCTATCCTTAGCAGACTAGAATGCAATCATTGACCAGTAACGTGACTGGGTTGGACCTAATGGGACTCCTGTGAACAGCTCTTTCCCACACTATCTATTCCCGTGCAGGGGAGGTGGGACGTTGTTTTTTTCGACTTGGCTATCGTACCTTCCCTGATTCGACTCAATCGCCCCTCAGAGCGTTCCTTCCGCATGTTTCGCTTCCAATTTCGATTGACCTCACCTGGGCATTTTGTATATCAATATTCTCGTCTATGCAAATCTGCCTTTTCATAGCCTCTCTGCGTTGTTCTCGTTTGCTTTCCTGCTTCGTTTAGACCGTGGCAACCCGCCCACTGAAGGAAAGATTCCACAAGCGACTGATGTCATACAGGCTCTTACACCACCTCCATTCGCTGCGCACCGCACCTTGCCGGACCAGGAAGGAGCTCTTTGCTGTCTCCCCGCAAACCTGCCCATCGTGACCACCCTTTGCAAGACGAAACCTCGACAGCAAAAAAAAGAGAATAAAGCAAGAAAGTACGACGGACAGTGCAAGGCGTGAGCTGGGATCTTCCTTCTCGACTTGCCATTTTGCGATCCATCGAACCATCTAGCCCTTTTTTGTCTCTCTTCCCTCCGCCGCCAACGTCTTTTCGCAGACCATCAAATGGCCCCGGAAGGTGCATCTTATGTACCTGGCGGGAACATAAATGACGGCGGACGCGGTGACCGTCTCGGCGCCGCCACATTTTCGACTTCGGCGGTGACCGATTCGCCCTTTCAGCCCGGCAGTGTGTCATCAGCCGGCTTTCGCAGTGTCCAGTTCGCAGCACCGAGTCGGACCAGACGCAGCGGCGACGGGGACAACGATGACGGCAACGACGCCTCGTCGCGGTTGCTAGACGACGACGACAATGACGAAGACGAGGGACGGGATCCGTACGACGGGGACAGCCACCGAGATGCCGGCGACTGGCCACCACTGCGGCGGCGGCGGCGGTCATCAGTTGGTGCTCGCTTGTCTGCTCTCACCGACATTGGCGGCGTCAACAGCATCCGCTCGTTCACACGCAGTTTTCAGCGCGCAGCCGGCTTTACGGAGGTTATACCACAACGACCGTCGTTCGTCTTTGCCGCCGACCAGGAGCCCATCCTTGGCGGACCCGGTGGTGAAGGAGGGCCGTACGATCCCTATGACGGTACGGAGTCTGTGGAACCGGGCTCCTACCGTGCCTCGCCGCCAGCATTCTTGTCTCTGCTGCGGCAACATCTCGAGGCCGGCCACTCGTCTGCTGTCGCGTCGTCGTCCGAAAACACCTCCCTGAATGCTCCACCATCTGAACCAGGCAGTCCCGTACCCGGCCAGAGCTCCGTGGCCATCACGGACGAGCCGAACAATGGCCAGCTAGGTGGCAACTCGGAGCGTAAGAGCCTTCTCGACTCCTCCGGGCAGACACGTACATACCGTGCCGGTAGCACATCGTCTATATTTGCCTGGCCACCGCATCTGGCCGCGGCCGCAGCTGCCGCTAGTGCGGGTGCATCCGGCGAAGGCGTTGCCACGTCGCCCATCGTTGGCAGCTATGGTTCGTTCCGCACGCACCGTAGTGGCAGCGGGAGCCATGCTGGTGGCTATGGCTCTGTCATTGGCTCGCCGGCCGCGCTCAGCTACAGCGCCATGTCCGGTCGTCTGGGCCCAGGTAGCCAGGCCGCTTCCATGGCGCAAGCCGGTGTGCTATGGCGACAGCAACAAGAGGGCGGCATTGATGCCATGCCAGACGACGAGCGTCCGGCCATCTTGGTGAAGGAGGTCGAAGAGGACGGCAAGATTGTTCTGACTGTTGAGGGGCAGTCCACGTTGCCCCAGACCATCTTCAACTCCATCAACGTGCTGATCGGCGTCGGTCTGCTGAGTTTGCCAATGGGCATCAAATATGCCGGCTGGATCTGTGGTATGCTCATTCTGTTCCTTGCGGCAGCCGTCACTGCGTACACGGCGCGTCTCCTGGCCAAGTGCATGGACCTTGACCCTGTTGTCATCACGTTCTCGGACCTGGCCTTCATCTCTTTTGGACCACGTGCCCGTCTTGTGACAAGTCTCCTGTTTACGGTCGAGTTGATGGCCGCATGTGTGGCATTGATTGTGCTCTTTGCGGACTCGCTCGACCTTCTGTTCCCGGGCCTGCTCACCCTGGTCGAGTGGAAGATCGTGTGTTGCTTTATCATGATTCCGCTCAACTTTTTACCAATGCGCCTTCTCAGTGTTACGAGCATCATTGGTATCGTGTCTTGCTTCAGCAGTACGTGCAGCCCTCACGATGAAACAAAACGAGAGACAAAAACGACAAGTTTGAACGAAAAAAACTAACTTAATATGTAGTCGCCGCCATTGTCGTCATTGACGGGTTCACCAAGAAGACAACCCCCGGCTCCTTGATCGAGCCGGCTGTCACATACTTGTTCCCTGCGAACTGGTTGACGTTGCCTCTATCGTTTGGTCTTTTGATGTCGCCCTGGGGTGGACATAGCGTGTTCCCAAACGTAAGTCGACTGTAGTTAACTATGTCGTTACGTTCAAATCACTCACCTTTCTTTCCCTCAACTACAGATCTACCGTGACATGCGGCATCCGTACAAATATGCCCGTGCAGTCAAAATCACCTTCTCGTTCACAGTAAGATATGCTCGTCCCCCGTCCTAGATACTATCATGCACATATTGCTAATACAGCCTCCTCACCAGTACCTGCTAGACACGGTCACGGCTGTGGCTGGCCTTCTCATGTTTGGCGACGATGTCAAGGACGAGATCACGGCCAACATTTTGACCACGTCGGGCTATTCCAAGGCCTTGACTGTTTTTCTTTGCATTTTTATCGCCATCATCCCGCTCACAAAGATTCCGCTCAACGCCCGCCCGATCATCACCACAGTCGAGATCCTGACCGGCATGCACCAGCAAACTGTCCCCGACACTCAATCGCTGACCGGACGGTCCATGTACTTCCGTGGCATTGTTAAGATTGCCATCCGTATCGTGACGATTGTCACGTTTCTCGTCATTTCGATCGTGTTCCCTGCCTTTGATAGTATCATGGCATTCATGGGCAGCGCCTTGTGCTCTACGATTTGCGTCACCCTTCCCATCCTGTTCCACTTGAAGCTTTTCGGCCATGAGATCTCCAAAGCCGACAAGCTGTT